AGGCGGTTGCTAGGATGTTGCTAGGTGGTTGCTAAGGTGTTGCTAGGCATTGTGGCTAGTAAGTTGAAATGTCATCAGTGATTGGCAGATTGTCTGAGTCTGAGTTAAGTGAGTATGACAGTCTGGTGCAAAGTTATAAGATCATAAAGTTTGGTCCAATGTTAAGTCAATGGGACATTTTCGAAATTTCCGGATCAGTTTTTGGAAAACTGTAAGTGGGATCAGTTAGAAAGTTGGGACAGTTCTGTAGTAAATAGCTTTCTCAAGCCACTATAATTATGTTGTTCCTTTTACTCCAGGTTACCCAGGAGATCACAGATAGAAGTCGAGTTTTTCAAGTTTTGGGAACATCTAGGTTTGTTTTACTACTCCCGTTTACTGTATCAACATGTTTGATATTAGAAAAAAACTTAAAACAACCATCTTACCTTATCTTATAACAATATCATCTTTCTACAGGGATATTATTTTGCAAAGTACTCCTACAGATGATCCGTCGGCCATGAGCAACCTATACATACTCACAGGGCACGAAAGCAGCTACTGAGAGGTCTGAGATGCTGAGAATGTTCAGAGATGGAAACACTACAATAGTCCGTCCTTCTTCACTGAAAGGGTTGTGTCATCCATTCCAAAAAGTTTTAGGAACAGAGCAAGACATGGAGCCATGTACACACAGTTCTACAGATTCTTTGAGGAGTCATGTACACACAGTTCCATAGGGCCTTTGAGGACTAGACTCTGGAGTTAGATCAGATTTGACGGCTCTGGAGTTAACCAAGAGAGTATATGAGCTGTGGACCTACACTAGGTTTAAAAAAACTTATGAAACAACCTGTTATAGGTGACTGACTGTACTACTGAGATGGTCTTTTTTTAACGCCAACCAGTCTGTCCTTTTTTAGTACTTTAAATTATAATATTGACTGTTTGGTGCTGTTATTTTTTTCAGTAAACAAGTTGGCAGAATTTTATGAATCATTGTAATTTCTGTAAAATTTTAAAGTTGCCGAAAAATTAAACAAATATGAATGACAATGGTGTATTTATGAATAGTTGTTTCCTGTTGTTCAAGTCTTGTGAATATTTACTCCACAATAATAATCAGCTGCAGCCCCACACAAGTTTCAGGCACAAACAATCCAGCACACACGATCTAGGCAAACCATATAGGTTATGACGGATGTTAATGTTATTAACGTCTTCTCGGACATCATCATCAATATATTTTTATATAAATGTTGAAGTCAGAATTATTAGAAATTATTAGCCCCCTGATTTATTATCCCCCCTACTTATTTTTTACCTAATTTATATTTAATGGAGAGAAGTTTTCAACACATTTCTAAACATAATAGTTTTAATAACTCTAAAAACTGACAGCAATGCTTCCTGATAGAACAGAATAAGATGACCTATATAAGCTATGGTGAATTATGTATAACTTTATCACCACAGGGGCTAACTTTACAACTCACTAAAAATAGAAGTTTTTAACTTTCGGCTTGGGTTTAATTTATAACAATTATTATTAGGCAATATTAAAACAAAAAACAAAAACAAAATTGTTGATAGTAGTGAGAGAACATGTCTAGAAGGAAGTTACAAAGCTCAGTGTAACAAAGCACAAACACAAACCTGTCCAGTAGAGGTCGCTAACGGACTGCTAATCACATGCCTTTCAAAGATGTGCACGTGAGAGAAAAATGCAGTCTCTGTGAAGCAATGGGCAGTGAAGTTGTATGTTGCTAATTATCGTTGTTTGTTGGATTTGTGCGTGTCATAAACAAATCACATTCACCAGTGTGGAATAAAGCAACTTAAATTAACTGAACCAGACTCATGCATTCTAACCGATGCACTACAGTGATTATCACCTCTAAACTGGCAACTTAGTTGAATACTTCTCAACAGTCAGATTTCTTGTTAGTTTTTCCGTTTTAAGCTGTAGATGTCATTCTTCATGTTTTGTGCACAGAAACTCTAAGGATTGCTTTAGCAGGTTGTTCATCTGCAAAACAAATGTCAGTAAAAATAACAATTATTCATTTGACAGCCGCTGGAAGAACGGTCTACTTGTTTGTATTAAAGAGTCAAACAATCACACACTTAAAAATTAAATGATAAAGAGAGAGTGTAGAAGTCCACTTAAGTTCTTAAGTGCACAATAAACATACAGTGCTCAACATATATGAGTACACAACTCACAAATATTTCATTATATTTGTGCATACACATGAGATTAGTCAGTACTGAAGCCAAATCAGGAGCTTATCTAAAAAAACAACTTATGATAATGGTCCAAAATTAGTACACCCAAATTTATGTTATTGAAAAATATTAAATAAAACATTTAAAAAGAGCTAAATTCAAGAGAAACAAAACATTCTACAATTTTGTTGGAATTTTGTATTTTGTAATTTTTTTTTTTCAAATATGTTGCTTGAATTTAATTGTATTATCTTTCTATTTCTAAAGATGTTCAATGACTAAAATATTATTTTAATAAATATAACTGTTTAATAAATCTATTTTGTTTAAACGCACCAAATACATTGCTTATATTCACTGAAATGGATATAAATATTCATTTTCAGAATGGACTGTACTCGATTATGTTGAGCTCTGTAGGTAATATTTATCACAAACTCTTGTTTCTTGTGAAATCCCTCTATCAAATTAATAATTATGTCTAAAAACAAACACAATGTACAAGTAATATGAAAGAATTTTTATGAGCAATTTTACCGGTATTACTGAATTATGAAATTGCATTGTGTTTTGCATTAGGGATCACAGACGTGACAATTCCACAGGTTATTTGAAACACTTAGGCTATGCATTGTTGTCTTTTTTTCTTTTTCCTGTTTTCTTGTGATCTCAGATACATAAATGTTATCTAGATATCACAAAAAATGTTACAAATCCAATATAAATTACAAAAATAAATATTCATATTTTTGCCTTAACAAACCATTTAAGAAAACTTTAAATTGCTGCTGCATTATTAAAAGGGTTAGTTCACCTAAAAAAAATTTATTAATAATTACTCACCCTCATGTTGTCCCAACTCCCGAGACCTTTGATAATATTCTGAACAAATTATGATATTTTTAAATTAAATCTGAGACTCCCTCATCCATAGAAAGCAAGCGTTCAGAGACACTCAAAGTCCAGAAAATGCACCAAAAAACATTCTCAAAACAGACCATGTGCCTTCAGCGGTTTGAACTGAATATTATTAAGGAGAAGAAACTGTTCATTAAAGTTATAATTCTTGTTTTATGTGTGCATAAACATATTCTCATAGCTTCATAAAGATTTGTTTGGGTTCCTTTTCTGGATTTTGAATCGGGAACCTTACTGTCTATGGAGGATGAGAGAGCTCTCAGATTTAATCTAAAATATCCTAATTTGTGTTCTAAAGATGAACAAACGAGGTTTGGAATAAAACAAAGGTGAGAATTTAATGGTGTAATCTACATTTTTTGATAAACTAATCCTTTAATTGGATTTAATTCTATAAGTTATTCTTATATTAAATATGTTTATGAACATCCATGAAAAAAGTACCTGTATGTACATCAAAAAAGCTGCCTGGATGGATATTTGTTTATCTGCAAGTGGAAAAAAGAAAAGATTAAAGAATATGATTTAAATATTGTACATAACCCATATTTTTGGGTCTGGAGCGGCTGTGCACTGATTATGGAAATGAAAAATTGACCCAAAACAAATGGCTCTGACTGACTAAATTTGACAATGAAAAAATAGGAAATGTGCTTCAACTGGCGTACCAAGAGCTGTGGAAATGATGGGGAAAAAAACACAGTTTAAAAAAAAAATTTTAATAATCCAACACTGGCAAATCAATATCAAAGGTTTCTCAAACTTGAAAGCTCATGCTACACTATGTTGCAGGGTTTTGCTTTAACACACACTGTACCTGGCAGATTGATGTAATACTGGAGATCCTCTGGTTCAGTTCTGCTAAACTGGGGCTGGATGGAGATCAGTACTGGAAAGAGAAAAAAGAAACAGACATTCGTTTTATTGGCATATTCCTAAAAATTTAAGAATGTGCAATGATATCTGAAAATGCACATGATAAGAAGAATAATGGATTGAGAGACTTTTAAATTCAATTAAAAAACAAGATCTAACATTTATTTTCATTATTTAAATTAACTTTAATATAATTATGACATTAAATCTGATTGTTAATTACGATCACACATGAACACATTAATGCATTTAATGACTTTGTGAGCTAAACTAGGTTTTTGTGAACTGAGCATTGTATAAGTTCATGAAATACTGTTTTTTTCTGCAAATTTAAACAGTCCTATAAAACATCCGTATTTTTTTACAGAAGAATGCTATAACAACCACTGCCGGTATTTTTCTGTAAATTGAACAGAATTTTTGAACAGTGTTAATAAATTAAAGCTAAATTATAAATGTGTTGATTGAACTAAACAACATTACATTACCTTTATGTAACTAACTTAAGTTCACTCAACTAAATATTCTTTCTTTAAGGTAACTTGTGTGCCTGAACGTGTGTGGGTCTGCGGGGTTGCAGCTGGATAAATCTTATTTACACAGCACAGGGAGTTTGCATGTTCTCACCGCGTTCGCTTGGGTTTCCTCCGGGTGCTCCGGTTTCCCCCACAGTACAAAGACATGCGGTACAGCTGAATTGGGTAGGCAGTAGTGTATGAGTGTGTATGGATGTTTTCCAGAGATGGGATGCAGCTGGAAGGCCATCCGCTGCGTAAAACATATGCTGGATAAGTTGGCGATTCATTCCGCTGTGGCGACCCTAGATTAATAAAGGGACTAAGTCCAAAAGAAAATTTATGAATACAAAGCAGTCTACTGTGTAGCGTTTCCTGCAATGGTTGGTCTCTTTCACTAGTCGGCGCTCTTTCTTTTACGAGTTATTTTGTTTGTTAAGTGTCTCCTCTTTTTCTGGCGAATTTAAAAAAACAGGAAATGTATAACCAGTAGTTTACGAACGTGTATGACGGCTTGGCTGTTAACAACAGTTTAGGCGTAAGACTTTATCTGTTTGGTAAAGTAATTAGATTATTGTGATATTCACATTTTTTTCTGCTAAATAAATCGTTTAATATTGTTCTCGGTATGAGTTTAGAGGTGCATTGTTTGTCATTTCGTCAGCCGTACGCTACTCTTGTGTTAAATGGTGTTAAAACAATAGAAAGTCGCTGGCGACCCCTGCTGTCAGAGATGCAGAACAGCACTCTAGCTGTTCATATTGCTTGGAAAAGCTGGGAAGGAGAGGACTGGAGGCTCATTCTCACTGAAAGACTGGGAATGACATCCAAACAAACGGAGGAACTCCTGGAGTCGGGAGAAAGGTTCGGGCGGAGTGTTATAGCAGGTGAAGTTTAAATTAAATTGTTATTAATTATATTATTCAAAACTGTAAAACTGAAGTATTTAATGATTATGAACATAGAAAATAAAACAAATTTGTTTCCATATTTTGTGTCGTAGACATAAAATGATTTGATGGGATAACATCTAGATATAGACCCTATTATAAAAATCAAGGATTCTTATTGGTTTGTAATCCCATCTTATTTGTTTAAAAAAAACAGAGGTATAAAGTTTTTTCCGTTAAAGTTTTACTGAAACTTTCCAAATTTCATAAGCAGGTTTGTTGTATTGGAAAATGCTGTACAAACGTAACTCATAATGTGACATTATGGAACAATCACTGTATAATAATGCAACGTAAATCTTTTTTTTTTTTTTTTTTGGAGGATTGGTGGCAAAATGTAGGTTGGTCAGTACTACATATTTTGGATACGAATGCTTGTTTTGTTAGTCGCAGTGAGCTTGGTACTATCTTTAAATTTAACTTTGAATTTATCTTTAAATTGTATTCTCTTACCATTAATTAATATGTTAAAAGATCCTAGTTTATTCCACTGTCACATTATAAATTATGAATAGTAAATTAGGTAAGTTAAATATTGTGGACAAGGAATGTACAAATAAGTTTATTAGAAAGTGTCTTATACAGGAATGCTATCCTGGTCCTATTAAAATAATTGATATTTTCCAACCTGTTAATAAGAATTTAGTTAAGAAAATTAGACGCATATATTTGACATTTCATCTTCCTCCAAAATACAAAGAAGAACATTTTAAAATGATGTATGATATTTACATTTGAATTGTAATGTTTGCCAATTCTGCAATAGGGATATTGAAACTGTTGAACATGTATTCTTCATTGTAATTTGGTCAATCCTTTCTGGTCTGATGTGGACAAGTGGATAAAACAATGTATTTCAATGTTTCCTTCTATTTGTTGGAGCATTGTGAAATTGTGTACTTATTATATAATCATTGACTGTTAATTGTGTACTTATTTTACCTAAATTCTTCATTCATAAATGCTAAATTTTGAAAACAGCTCCTCAATTGATTGTCTTTAAAAAAAGAGTTTGCCACTTATGTAAAAGCTTTAAAAATAATGAAGGGTAAGAAGACTAAACAATTGTATGATTTGTTTCAAGAATATGGTTTTATTTATACCCTTACAGAGTTTCTGTTTGATGTCTGATGTTTTTTTTAAGTTATTTAATACATTTTGTTAGCTTGTTTTGTGTAATTTTATGGCTTTATATTTAATTTACTCTATATCTGACATGTCTCAGTTTGTGCAAGATTATGTTTGGTCTGAATTGTTATGTTTTTGAAAGGCAAATAAAAAATACAAAAAACAATAAAAAAAAAAGGAAAAGATATGTTGCTACCCAGCATACTGTTTGCATTAAAACAAGTCCAAATGTCAAACTTTTTAAATCATTCAGTTTGTCTGGTTTTGGTTATTTTTTGTAATTAAATTGTTGATAAAAAAATAAACTGATTAAATGAACTACAATATTATAAATATATTATTATTTTGATGTGCTGTTCAAATACTGAAATTAAAGAACCATAAATCTTAATATTATGTATTTATACCTCTTTTTGGCTCGTTTTTTTATTTGCACATTATTAATTTTTCTTTTTCTTTTAACCATTAAATATTTGAACATCTATTTCTTTACTGTTTGATGTCTGCACGGTATGTTGTTCCCTTTTTTTATTTATTGTTTTAAACATTTTGTTTGTTGTATATTTGTTTGTTTGTTTGGTGTAATTTTATGGCTTTTTATTTGATTCACAGTATATATGACATATCTCAGTCAGTTTGTGCAAGATTATGTTAGGATTTAGTTTGGCCTAAATTGTTATGTTTTTGAAAGGCAAATAAAAAAATAAAAGTAAAAGATATTATTATGTGGCCATCCAGCGCACTGTTTGCATTAAGTTCAAATGTCAAGCTTTTTAAATTATTCAAAGTTTGTCTGGTTTTGGTTATTTTTTGTAATTGAACTGATGATAAAAAATAAACTGATTAAATTAACTGCAACAAGATTATAAAAAATATTATTATTTTGACATGCTGTTCAGATACAGGAATTAAATGACCAAAAATCTTAATATTAATTTATGCCTCTTTTTGGCTCACTTTTTATTTGCACATTATTAAGTCTACTTGTATATTATCTATTAAATATTTGCAGGTCTTGTGGATGTTGGGGAGACGTGGTGTTGTCCAGACAATGTTCCCTGTGAAGAAATGAAAAAGCTAGAGACAGCAGCCTGCTTGACTGAACTCAACTTGAAATACCTTACAAGACTCTCAAACCCCCGCTGGCTCAATGAACCAATGTATGCTAGGGGTCATAAAGATGTGTGGACTGTAAACATACCAATTCGTCTACTGCCTTCTGCTTCTTCTGTGTCTGAAGGGACGCTAGGGCAAGCCTTTACTGGAGATTTGTAATCAGTGGCGTAGCGCAAAATGCGGAGGCCCCCCTGCAGGGATCACCGACGGGGCCCCCAGTTGAAGGCGGGGGGGGCTATATACACATACACACATAGATATACACATATATCTATGTTCGGGAGTTTTCCTGGATGTTAGTATGCATTTTTTTTAATATGAAAATTTTTATTTGACATCACTTTTCTACATTGATGGATCACTTATCGCACGGGCATTCCTGACAAAAAGCTTGTGTTTGTGTGTATGAAAATGTACTATTCACTCTCCCTGTTAAATTTGATCTAATCATGTGCTGAAATACACCTCCTCTCCTGCTTTCACTGCTCATACTGACGGAGGGAGCGATTCGTTTGTGAATGAATCTCCGTTATGAGCGACTCGTTCGCTAGCCGACAATAATACAATTTTCTGGCAGCGCAGCATCTCGTTGTCATATTTCTTTTGCATTGTTTGCTGATTTTATTTAACAAACCTAGCATAAACCGAGTGTTTAGTGCAAGTTGGTGCTACTTTGCCTTATGGTGAATGCAGTAAGTGACTATAGCTATTATTATCAATAACGTGACCTGTTTAGCACAAATTTCAAAACATACAAAAACGTAAAAAAACTTAATCCTATGAAATGTTCTGCCTTTGTGCTTTGTTTTCTTTGTTTGCTCGTTACTACACTCGTAGACAGCGCTTAAGCCCAGCATCTTCACGTAATAACACTGTCTTGACTAGTGCGGTTGAATGACATTTGTCCTGGGAGCACTGTACCAATGTGGCGGCGCTATAGACGCATGCTCAGGGTCCCTATGCGATATCTAGTGTATATGTCTATGTCACAAATTGAGGAGCGGGGAAAGGAGGCGGAGTGGCGTGACAACGCGGGGAATCCTTCACAAACTGAGGAGCGATCACAAACCGAAAGTGGCGAGAGCGTCAAAGTAGCCAGAAGTCATTCATTTTTTAACGAGAACCGGCGGCGAGAAACAGCGGCGCGTCTTCATTGGCCATGACGCGGTTCGGCGGCAAGCATTCAGAATGAAGTAGTCCACTGCTTGAGCGGAGTTCAGAGAACACAGACCTGTAAACTTTGGTTCCGACCACAGTTGTTCCCAAGAGTTTTATTATTGCGATTCCTGGATTTTCAATTATTAAAAATCGCGACGACGTGGGGCCCCCTAATCACGCGGGGCCCCCCCGCGGTGCGTGCCCTGCGGGCCCGTCCGCTACGCCACTGTTTGTAATATAGATCTAATGGATCCTTTTTACACTAATTAAAACAAGTTTCATTTCTTGTTAGTGTTAAAGCATAGTTTTTTTTAATGTATAGTCTTTATTGTGTTGACCTAATATGAATAGCAGTGCTGTTTGAACAAAAAAAAACTATACAACTTTTTTTTCTTAGGTAAAATGAGTATTCAGGTTGTCAAAATAGATTATTATATTCTACATTATTGTTGTAGTGATGTCTTTTGTTTTCCTTATTGAACACTTTGCCCCTTGAGATTTAGAATGGTTCCATCACTATCGATTTTAAAACACTCCTAAAAACGTACCTATTTAGCTTGACTTTTTAATATTATTTTAATAATTTTTTTTTTTACCGGTTCATTATTACATTTATTTAGTTGTTTCTCTTGGCTTGTTTTTGTTTTTATATTCTTTCTTTTATTTTAATTTGACTTATGTACACTCTCAGAAACAAAGGTACGGGAACTGTCACTGGGGCAGTACCTTTTTAAAAGATACCCAAATAGTCCACAGTGGTACCTAAAAGGTGCATAATAGTAAAAAAAATGTACCTAAAAAGTTCCTTTGAGGTACCATTATGGAACAAATATGTATCTTTTAAAAAGGTACTGCCCCTGTGACAGCTCCCGTACCTTTATTTGTGAGAGTGCACATCACTTTGGTCAGTCTTGTGACTGTTTTAAATGTGCTTTACAAATGAGTAAACTTGATCTTATTATTTGAGTGTTGCTGTGACTGTAGGATTTTGAATATGGATAGAATCATTTGAAGCAGGGATAGATTGTTTGGACCCGATTACTCTTAACCCTACATAATGCTGTTGGCTATATTCTCATTTATTTTCTCCTTAATAAAATAAAGATGTTTATTTTTGCAACAAAAAAAAAAAAAACCTTTGACGTGTTTGTGTCAATATTTGTTTATATACAGAATATGAATTACATTATCAATAAAAGATACATAAAAGGAAAAAAAAGGAAAAGAACATGATATAAACTTAAGGGTAAGACCTTTAAGAATCAATTACAGTATATTAATTAAAGTCATTACAAAATGAAATAGTTCTGTTTGCTTTCTTATTTTCGTATAATGATATTCAATTTAAATAATTAAACTAATTTTATGCAAAAAAAAAAAAAGGAAAAATTGGTTTGGTGTTAGTCAATTTGCATTTTTGGATATGAAATTTATAAAGAAAACAACAAAGCATGGATTTCTTTTAGTAGAGGCAGATTCATAATGACCAAAAATATTTTCTTTAAAAGAAACATCTTGTTGTATATCATTATTAATAATGAGCCAATGTGTTTCTAAAATTGTACAACATAATTACAATCCCAAAATAAATGAAAAACAGTTTCAGTGTAAAAATTAAATATTTGACCAATATTAAAACTAAACTGTATTAAACAAAAATTGTTTAATAGCAGGGCAGCAAGATGGCACAATAGGTAGTGCTCTCACCTCACAGCAAGAAGGTCGCTGGTTCGAGCCTTGGCTGGGTCAGTTGGCATTTCTGTGTGGAGTTTGCATGTTCTTCCTGTGTTGGCGTGGGTTCCCTTTGGGCTCTCTTGTTTCCCCCACAAGTCCAAAGACTTGCAGTACAGGTGAATTGGTTAAGCTAAATTGCCCGCAGTGTATGTGTGTGAATGGAAGAGTATGGGTGTTACCAAGTGATGGGTAGCAGCTGGAAGGGCATCCGCTGCGTAAAACATATGCTGGATAAGTTGGTGGTTTATTCCGCTGTGGCGACCCCAGATTATTAAAGAGAAGCTGAAAAGAAAATGAATGAATGAATGTTTATTAGGATCAAATTTGTTGATTAATTTAAAAGACACTTCTTTGATCTTATTGGTGAGGAATTATTTTTGTTGCAATAAGCCCATATTTATTTCCATTTCAAATATATTATTCCAATAGATTACAACATAACAACCTTTTCAATAAAAAGAGATTTAATTTTGTAATTTTTATCTTTTTTTACTAGAAAAACAAGTTTTACCTATAAACATCTCTGTCAAATAAGAAAAATGAATAAATGGTATGTTATATTCTAAAATAAATTCAAAGTAATCCATTAAAAACAATTTCTGTTTTTAAATAACTGACTAACTAAAAGCAAACCAGTTATTTTATTATTAAAGATTTATTTTTATATAAGATATTTTGGTTATTCCAAATATTTTTGCCATAGTTATTACTAATACTAGTTATTTTTCAGTCATTTTTATTATTATTATTATTATTATTATTTAGTTAACCTTTTTTATTGCACAACAAGAACAATACCATACAAAAAATGAGGAATATGCTTACATTTTTTTTATATCAAAGGAACAAATCAGTAGAGAATAAAATAATAATAATAATAATAATAATAATAAAATTACAGGGGATATTCATTCATTCATTTTCTTGTCGGCTTAGTCCAGGGGTGGGCAAACTCGGTCCTGGAGGGCTGGTGTCCTGCACAGTTTAGCTCCTACTCTAATCAAACACACCTGCTTATTGTTTCCAGTGATCTTGAAGACACTGATTAGCTTGTTCAGGTGTGTTTGACTAGTGTTGGAACAAAACTCTGCAGGGACACCGGCCCTCGAGGATCAAGTTTGCCCATCCCTGGCTTAGTCCCTTTATTAATCTGGGGTCACCACAGAGGAATGAACTGCCTACAGGGGATATTTAAATTACAACAAGATTGCATAAGAAAAGGATTCCAAAATTGCATACATTCTTATTTTTATGTTCAATGCATTTTAGGGTTTCAATATAATGCTTAAGATCAGTTTTGAACAAATAAATTTTGGGTTTATTATTGGACCACTTTTTTTTGTGCATGGTACTTCCCATATCTAATCATTAAATTAATAATCAAATTTTGCTCCAAAGTTTTGTTATTATTATTGTAACATAATATTGTTATACATTATTTGTATAAAAAAAATATCTTGGCAAAACTGTTTTTTTATTTATTTAATTAGTTTAAATATAAGATATTTAACATCAAACCAAAACATTTTGGTTTTGTACATTCAAAAAACGGTTTTATCCATTCTTCCTCTGATTCACAAAAAGTGCACACAGATTCCATGTCTTTTGAAAATATTTTAACAACTTGTTTCACTGGATTAATAGCTTATATGTCATTTCTTTAACTTTGTTGGTGAGACAACATTTACTACACTATAAAAAATAAATCCATAAAATTTACAATAAAAAACGGCAGCTGTGGTTGCCAGTATTTTACCATTAAAAATACGGAACAAACCCTAAAAGTAATTTGTAATTTTTACAGTAAACTACCTAATGTTATATATTTATGTAATATGTTTGCATTTTGAATTACCAACATCTACACATCTTTTTATACTCAGATAGACGCATTAACACAGCCATATGCAAGAAAGTTACATATAGAACCAATGCTCATCACAAACAACTAGTTCTACAAGCAGAAAAATGTATCTGTGTTTAGAAGTTGCTCAGTGTCATTCACACAGCTACTAAACACGAGTATGGTAACACGCATAAAATTAAAGTCATGAAATAAACATTATTTATCAACATAAGTTGTAACAAATCTCTTATGTACATAACTGATGGGGAAACAACCAAAAATATCCATATTAATGTCAACAAAAAGCATAAAAAGTGATGTGCCATAAAGGGAATTCTGGGAAAGTCAGTTTATGGTTATTCGCCATATATACCAAGGAAACATACTGTTAACCAGGTTACAGATTTTTACTGTAGCATATTTACAGTTTTTTTTACTGTTGAAATCACAGGCATTTTTACAGTGTAGGTAAATTCCAAACTTTTTCCCACTCAATCTGCTCAAAAAGAAATTCCAAAAAGATTTGTATTTAGACTACAATGTGGTTCTGCATAACTTTTTAATGTAACAGTTATTAAATTTATTGTCTATAATTTTCACACAATTGACATACTTAACTGATTAGCATGTAAAAGATTTGATTCAGAGGATAAAATACTGGATAAGAGCTGAACAAGTCCACTAGAAATTGCATCAAATACTATTGCAAATTCTTTAAAAGTTATAGGGATCTTGTAATTGAAAAAAATCACAATGATTAAAAAGCTGTCCATTACTTATAAATAACTGTCTTACCAATAAAATATCATTATTGTACCAATTTCTATAAAGTAAGCATTTATTTTAAAGGTTATACATTTGTTGTTCCATATTACTGATTTATGTGGAGAAAAATTATGCTTATAAATAAGCATTGATAGAGAGCATACCTGTTTATGAAAAGAGGAATGTTTTATCGACACCTTGATAATATCAAAATTACACCTTAAAAAATTCTAAACCCCCTGGTGAAAAATTAACTCAGGGATGATGCTCTAAATTTTGTCTTTAGAAATCAGGCAATTCTTAATCCATTTGTTTTTAAATACACAATTAGAAGTCCTGAAGTTTAGAACATTAAGACCACCATCTTCAACTAGATTGTACAAAACTGTCTTTTTTTAAAAATAGCGTGGTCTGTTCCTCCATATGAAATTGAACAAAAATGTATCCACGTCTTTTATGACTGATTTTGGAACATCTAATGCAAGAGACGTATATACTAAACGTGGACAAACCTTCAATTTTGGCTAATAACATCGTCCTTTGATTGACAAATCTCTCATTAACCATAAGTTTATTTTTTGTTTAATTTTCTTAATAATTGGTGTAAAATGCAGATTAGCTACTTCCCTCTTTTTGATCTTTACAATTTTTTATACCCAAATATTCCACCATCTCCTTTACTGGAACAGTCGTCTATATTATAAGGTTATACAGTCTGCCTAGCCCAAGGTCACGCTAGTGCATTTTGGGTAATGTAGTTAGTTGGTACTTAACAGCGCTGGCGTGGCGATGCTGAAGGCGGGTTTACGAAACCTACTGCGTAGAAGGTCGAGGATTAATATTCATAACCTGCGCATTTGTTAGTGGGACCTATCAATACAACGTAATTAAAAATCTGGACAAACCATCGCTATTGGAAATTTACGTGGCACCTACTTAATTCGTATTCATGAGCGTAGCCTTCGGCGTAGTATGATTAAATGTCTGAGCGTATGACAAACTTTAAAACCGTTCGCACTTCGCATATACAGAGACGATGAGCGTTGCATGTAACATTGTTTGCTGCACTTTTCTAAACTTGCAATAGAGAATGGACAAGCGACCGACTTCGCCTCAGTCAAACGCTGAAACTCCAGACAGGTCAGTGCTAATAACACTCTTATGGTTTATGATTTTTATACGCGTCGCGACACAACCCTTTTATTCTTGTAATGTTAAGCGTCTGTCTATGCACCGCAGTGTTGAGAGGGGGTGTGGTGTCATAAACCGTTGTTTCATTTATATTACATTTATTTTGGTGTCTTGATGTAAACAAAAACCTTGGACTGACACGTATACACAAAACCTATCGTCTTCTGCATATGAAAAAATATATATTAAATAAACTCACAAACCCATTTATATTATAGTCCAACAGGAGCTCATGTTGAATGGTGCAAACAACTAATTGCAGCCACAATGTCCAGTCAAAGCTGTGGACCCATCAGCTCAGAGATGATTTCCAGGGAATATAAGGTATGGTCGTGCCAATGTGCATAAGTTACATTTAAAACTGGTTTTATTTTTCCACTTTAACACAAGACAGATTATATTGGCTTTGGATTGCATTTTATTTTACAAAAGTACTTTTATTTTACTGCTTATAAAATGGATGTTTATGACCCCTGTGCATTATTTTGTTTGGTTTAATTTAGTTCATAATTTTTTTCATATGTGTAAAGCAATATATATATATATTTATAAAAACCCTGTAATGCTCACTGACTAGCCCAATTTTGTTTATTCTTTGTTAGTTTTGCTCTGCCAAAATCTCCACCCGGTGCTTTTCGTTCATGCACTCTTATGCAAGAGGCAGCACTCTTCACATTTTTTTTTCCTTAATGAAACCACAGTGGATCAGAACATAGGGTTTCTGCAGGGTCTTAAAATGTCCTAAATCTCAAAATCCAAAATTTAGGTCTTACAAAGTCTTAAATTTACTAAAATATTGTGTTTTAGGTAGGCATGGGATAACCATTTTCAAAGTTTACCGCAGTTTGGAAAAGTTAAACTGCTTTCTAAAAAGTTATACCATTGATATACCGTTTATAAGGTATGTGTAAGATTTTTTATTTACATTTTTAAATTTTTTTTAGGAAAACAGTATCTCGAACAGAAAAGATATCCAAAGATAAATTGTAAAGAAATCTGTGTTTTTAAAACGAATGAAGACAGCAGAAGTCAATAATTCGTTGTCATTATTCAGCCTGACATGTTTACTGCTCCAAAATATTTTTAAAATGAATATATTGTGTTTAAAGGGGAAAATAAGTTTTAGTATTTTTTACCCAGACATTTAAAAAGAATATATTTTAGAGCAGTAATCACAATACCATGAAACCATGATATTTTTATCCAAGGTTATCATACCGTCAGAATCTTATACCAGCCAATGCCTATAGGTCAGGGGTGGCCAACCCTGTTCCTGGAGAGCCACCTTCCTGCAGATTTCAGTTGCAACCCATATCAAACTCACCTGAACCAATTAATTAGGACCTGAACACCACGTGATAATTACAGGCAGGTGTGTTTGATATGGGATGCAACTGAAATCTGCAGGAGGGTGGCTCTCCAGGAACAGGGTTGGCCACCCCTGCTATAGGTCTTAAATCTTTTTTAAACAGGTCTTAATTTTCTTTTGTTCATGTATAGCTACCCATCTGGCTAAAACCCATACAATTACTAACAATCATCTTAATAAAACTTAACGTAATTTTTAACTCTAATAGAATGGTTTAATTATTTTATTTACAATGTGTATATATATATATAAATATTTGTTTAAATGTTCTCCATGTATTTACTGCTGAGGACACTGATCTGGACAGATTGTTGTCCATAGATTTAGTTTTTAAAATGTTTAAAACATTTGTTCATTTTTTTTTTTTTTTTTTTTTGTTAAAGAAAGTTTATGTTAGGAAAAAAAGTGTATTGATACAAGTAGAGCTTGCTTGTTTTTACACAATATTTAAAATGTTTTGCTAAAAAATAAAATCTCATGTAATTTTTTAATTATTAATGTATTATTAAATGTGTTTAATTATAACAAATATTTTTTGATGGGGCAAATAAAAATATTTTCCATCTGGGCCATTTGAAAAATGCCTTTAGCCCTGGTCTAAAATTTCATTCATAATGGTCTTAAAAATGTCTTTAAAAGTCTTAAATTAAACTCTGAAACCTGCAGAAACCCTAATAGTTTAAATTGTACATTTAATCAAGTCTACATGAAAAAAGTACATTTCTAGTATTATCTAATCCACATTTTGCTACAAAACCCTTTCACAACACAATATGTTGTTTTACCTGGCCACATGTCCTATAACCATAAAAGGGCCATAAAATAGTCCAGACATTTCACAGAGCGATGACTTGCTAGTTTATATTATAGCTTGAGTTTTCCTGCCTTCTATTTTCTCCCACAGATTTTTTGATCACCATTTCCGGAGTAGAGTTACCCAATTCTAGCAACAGCTTATTAACTTAGAGGTTAATTGCATGTGATTTATTTTATGTTGATATGGCTTTTTATATTCCATTTGGTTTCTTGCACAACGCTAGCAAATAATATAGCTTGCCATGACTCGGAATGTAGTTCACAGATCTAATCTATTTTTGATATTTAAAAAAAGAAGTTGTCATTACTTGTAAATTATTTGTTGTAATCTACTTATGAATAGGCCCACATGGAATCTGCGCACGCAGAAATCTGCAGATTGTTGCAGATGTTCACAAGGGTTATATGGTCATGGAAAGCCTGGAAAAGTCAAGGAATTTTTACATGGCATTTTCCAGGCCTGGAAAAGTTTTGGAAAAACAGAAAAATCCACAAAGTTTTGTGTCATGGAAATTAGTTTAACAAATATCTGTATACTTGAAATAGGGCTGTGCGATATTGTAAAAATCTGATATTACGACATTGTATTTCTGTGATATATATTGTGATGTAAATACAATTTCACCAGATGATTTAACAGGTTTATTTGGATTGATTTTGTAGAAGAGTGAATCTCGAATAATATATAACAAATAAATTACAAGCATAGATAAATAAAATATAGTAAAGATAAAAGTGAATTATAGTTTTCAGGTATTCACTATTCAGGTACAGATATTGAATAATCAACACTGCATAGTCTCCATTGTATATTATTTAATCTTTATTAAAGTTACAAAATATTTCTTGTAGCCGGATGTTTTAAAATTTAAAATATTGAAATGGTTACACATTCACAGATCTTAAAGGGACAGTTTACTCAACATTAACTTTAAAATGTAGTCACTATTCACTCACACTTCACTTGTTTCAATACTATAAGAGTTATTAAATTATATTCTTTTTGTGTTGTAAAAAAAAACGAAAACTCATAAATGTTTGAAACAAGTAAAGGGTGTAATGAAAATGTTTAGTAATTTTTAGGTGAAAAATCTCTTCAAAACTGCATGCAGATAATAAACTTTTACTCTATACTAAACTATATTCCCAACATTGCATATTTTGCAATGTGACTATTGCGAATGCACACATTGTGATATCGATGCTGAAACGATATATTGTGCAGTAACTGTAATATAGGTTAGTTGTTTTTACTTTCTGTCCTTTGCTAAACTTGCTCTCGCATTGTTAGTGCTGTGTAAGCATTAGCAAAATCAATTATACATAGATATAAAAACAAATTTAAACAAAACTGATTGCTGCATGTTCTATGATATGCTGTAATAAATTTGAACGTCATTATTTTTTTTATTATTTACCATGTATAGACATTACTTGAAATATTAGGTCATGAAAATGTACTTGAAAGTTCTGGAAAAGTCTTGGAAAAGTCATAGATAGGATTTGCATAGTAAATAACTAAAGACTTAATATGTTAAATAAAAAAATTATGCATTTTTAAGTCTTTAGTTATGATTCACCAAAAACAATCTGTATAAATCCACAGATTTTTTACAATATTCTGCACAGAAATAGCCAAAAAAATTTGCAGATTCTGTCTCGCCTTGCTTATGACTTATCCTGACAGTTTCAGTTCTTTAGCGGGATTGACAAATAGTTTATCTTGATCATTTGAAATTATGAAGCTGACTATGACGGCAAACTGTACAACTTTCAGAAATTCCATAAACAGACTTGGTATCACAGTGTTATCAGATATTTTGGTACACAAACCTTGACTAACATAACTAATGCCATGGAAAATTAGATAGAAATTAACGTTTCTGGCCCTAGTATACATGCATGGATGCTTGTAGTTCTTGAAAAGATTGCACTTCCACAATCTTTCTGATTTAGTTATATGCACTGCTTATTCTTTCTCCTCATTACTCTCTGTTTTTTCTGTGGTGTTGTGGTGTTTCTTTGGTGCAGGACTGTGATATGGAGGTTAAAGGATTTCTCTTGGACAGTGACCCACAACAGACTGCCCCCTCCTCGGCAAGTCTCTTTCTGTCTGTGTGTGACTGTTGTGACAAACGTTTCAATAAGTTTACATATAAACAAATAAAATTTACTACAATAATTTTTAGGCTTAAATGAACTTTCCTCTTTTTGTTTCTCTCATCTTGTACTTCAGTTTCCCAAGCATTCAAGTGCACTATTCGCTTTTTAGTTATCACCCACTGGCATTTTTAACCTAGTGCTGCTTCAAATCATAATCATAATGTTCTGTCACCTATTGCTGTGTCTATTAGGGCTGGGCGATTTGGCCTAATATCAAAATCTCGATTAACTGAACATTTCAATTAATTATGATTAATGAATCATTATTTATTTATTTTTTAATTTTTTTGCCCTCATAGTTCACTGACAAGTTCTGTACATTAAATATGTTTACATATTACAAGTGAGCGATTTCTAAATGAAGGATGCATTGCTTGATTTTAAAATAATTGAGCATCAGTGTTCAACATCAATGTTGAACAACTGAAATTAAAACACACATTGCCCAAAGCGAACACACTTATATATATTTTATATATATATATATTATATATAAGTGTGTTCGCTTTGGGCAATGTGTGTTTTAATTTCATGTCAATGTATTTCATATTAAAAGTAGAAAATAAGCAGTATTTCTTCTACTGTAGATAAAATTACTTTTGTATATTCTGTAAATAATATCTTATACATAGGTTTACCTACATCTTCTGTAAACAAATATTTTAATGTAAACAATTTTAATGTAATATAAAATATGGCGTCTCAAGGTATCTCTGGAGCAGCTTTCAATCATCGTCAATGTAGTGCAAAGTAGGGCTCAATAATAGGTTCATCATCCTACTTGACCAAAGAACAGACGTGGCTGCAGAATTTTAAATCATTCACAACATGTGATTGCATTTTGTGAGAGCGCTCGCCGCTGATGCACACCAATGTGAGAGCGCGAATTCTGAGCTGGACCGTACACGTGCGCTTGATACAGAACAATAAACCAGAATGGGGTCATGTGATTTCACACACGGTATAGAAAGTAATCGAAAAAATTGACCTGGAAAAATTTGATAGATTGTAGGTTCTCAGAGTCAATTTCAATTACTTTTCGATTAATCGCCCAGTCCTACTGTCCAATTGTCTATTAATCTGTCTGTCATTTATAGATTTTCACAAATTATAAGAATTGAATGTACTGCAAAGACATTACATATATTGTAAACACTTTTATGTGGATAATGTATTAGATCAGGGGTGCCCAAACTCTGTTCTGGGGGGCTGGTATCCTGCATAGTTTACCTCCAGTGTCCTTCAACTCACCTGACTGGAAGTTTCTAGCATACCCAAAAAGATCATGAATATCTGGTTCAGGTGTATTTAATCGGGGTTGGAACTAAAATATGTAGGACACCGGCCTTCCAGGGGTCCTTTCTTCGTACGTGGATTAATCAATTAACTTGATTTGGTTGTTGGCGATTTGACAGGATTGTTTCGTTCTGCAAAACTCATCCGAGAGTTGTTGTAATAGCAACAGATCTGGTAGCTCAAACCTGCGGGGAAGCAGGTTGATTTCATATAAATAGGATTAGATCGGGTCTTTACAAGCAAAGGAGATATTGAAAGTATGAACTGAATGCTGATATTTTCTTACAGTAGTAGTTATATACACTTGGGAAAATAGTAAATAGTTAAAAAAATTATATATATATATATATATATATATATATATATATATATATATATATATATATATATATATATATATAAAACGCGGTGGGGCGGTAGGTAGTGCTGTCGCCTCACAGCAAGAAGGTTGCTGGTTCAAGCCTTGGCTGGGTCAGTTGGCGTTTCTTTGTGGAGTTTGCATGTTCTCCCTGCATTCACTTGGGTGACATGCGCGACTGGTGAATTGGGTAAGCTAAATTGTCCGTAGTTTATGATTGTGTATGGATGTTTCCCAGAGATGGGTTGTGGCCGGAAGGGTATCCGCTGCGTATAACATATGCTAGATAAGTTGGCTGTTCATTCAGCTGTGGCAACCTTAGATTAATAAAAGGACCAAGTTGAAATAAAAATGAATGAATGAATATTCATTAGACATGTACAATATTTGACTGTTTTTTTTTTGTTTTGTTTTTTTACAGGAATAATACTTTATGCAGTCATGCACGTGTTTTGACGGTTATTATAACAGTGATCAATAAAGGAAAGGATTGCAGATCATGATTTCGAGGTTCGATAGATCTGTCCTTCACAACACACGCATCGATCTCAGATCAATTCATCCAGACATTTTAAGCTGATTCGCGAACTTTTTTGAAGAACCAAATTAGCCAGAAATCAGTTATCAAAAATAAAAGATCTAGGTTCTTATAAATCCTCTAAGATCATTTAAGCAAGGTATGAAGAACGGAGTTTGAGCATCCCTGTATTAGATTAACTAGGACTTGTCACAGCACTTATAAATTGTTGTTCTTGTTTTTGGTCTGATTGTATTTGTTATTATTTCTCTGCTGCAGAGACTGTCAAAAAGCATGATTTGTATGTATATATATATATACTGTAGATCACTGGAATGTGTGGAAGAGAAATACAGATGTACGACTCATGTGGAATTATGAAGTATCACCACCCTGTGCCATTTTCTCAGACCTTTAATTAGCATAATGCTAAAACAGATCTCCATAGATCTTTTGTCTTTATGAAGGTCAAGCCTGTTGAATTCCACAGTGCCGTCATTGTTTAGCAGCTGGAGTGTAAAAGAATGACAACCTCTATGTTCATGAAGCTGCCAGGCATTTCTGTCACTGTGGGTGGAACAGATCCATGGGATCTTATCCCATTGAACACCCTACTGCTCTTTGTCAACAGTGTACTCACAAACACTGAACTTTCATGGCCAAACTTTGATTATTGGTTCTTGCATGGGGTCTTTTGGTTGCATACTAAATTTATCTATATGGAATGCAATTTGCATCATCAAAAGTTTGCATCATCATCACTTTTTGTATAGTGAGAGATTTTTCCAGTGCTGTAATTCTAAATTACACAAGTGTCATCTGCGTTTAATTTACAGCCTCAAACTTTGAGCTGAATGTTTGCTTTAGGGAGAGATTTCTTTTTTTTTTTTTTTTACTTTGGGTGTGGTGGCTTTGGAAACCACATAAGCATATTTTATATCTCTCCTACACTAAACCACAGTTCCATTTGAGTGTGTGTATGTGTGTATTGCTAAAATTTGTTTTACTTTGTGGTGACAAATTGGTTCCTATGAGAAAAACATATTGCAAATAATTTAGAATGAAGAATTTTGGAAATGTAAAAAAAAAATAGTGGTAGTGTTTAGGTTAGGGTAAAGGGGTGTACAGTTTGTACAGTATAAGAATTACTACCTGTAAGGACTCACCACAAGTATGCACATATTTTAGTTTTAAATGCTTAAAGGTGCAGTAGGTGATCTGCCAGAATGCTAGCATTAGCATAATAGCTTAGAAATTTTACGACCCTCCCCTGTTGTCCAAAGCCACGCCTCCTTAAGTGATGAACACGCGAACGCGCACCATTTAGATATAACACTAGATAATGTCATTCACCAGTTAGAAAACTTTATGGAGACACATAGTTTATGAAGTTGTTTAGTTGTTTAGTTGTTGACAGGCCAGCGGGTGTAAGATTATATTTCCCAAAACTGTATTACAGGCTGTCACTGTTTAAAATTGAACAAATGTTTGAATATAAATTAATCTTTACCTCAGTAAAGCTGGTTAGGCGGAAAAGCATTTACTTATGCTTTGTTACTAAAATAAATAAAAATTAGATCCGAAATAAGGAGTGCTAAAAACAGTCATATTTTTGCTTTACATTTACTGTAGGTTACCAAGACAACAAGTGACTTTTCATTTTCAGTTGTGCTTGCTGATCCTCGTACATCGCTTGTTTTCAGCTCCTTTTACACTTGAACATCTCAGTGATTTCTCAGGTCTTTTTAACCGACTAGTATTGATGCTGTAAAAGATACTCAATGAACTTGAAAATAGCCAATCTTTTGCCGCTTTGCGTGGCTAAAGTAGTTTTAAAACATACCTGTCTAAAAGAAATACTACTGTGGTGTTATTCTTCAGTTAGTTGTTTTGAACTGCATAACGTCAATCCCCTCCAGCCTGCAAAAGTACTTCCGATATTAATTCAGGGTTTACAAAGAGGGCAGAAGCCCTTTCAGAAACAATGTTTCTTTTCATGAACAAAAGGCCATATTGGTCTTTCAGAAAGAAGTTCCGGTTAATGCAGAGTTTGCAGGATGCCGCCTCTCTTTCGGTGGTAGATCCATACTTCACGTGTGGGTGCAAGTAATATATCTGTCTGCTTAAAGGCTGCGCAAAAATTAAAATTAAAATTTGTTTACAGACAGCTTGAAATACCTGTCGTAATTGAGTTATTTGTCCGGTTCATCCAATATTTAATTGGATTAATTTTTTTTAATTTAATGCCTTATGGAGAATATAAAAATACATATAAATACATTCATATCATTTACTTTTAATCATTACTATTGGAATGTGAAGAGACTTTCAACCAGCACAAAAAAGACCACCACCTACTGCATCTTTAACATTTGAAAACCAGTAAATGTAAACAAATTACAAACAGTACCAAACAAGGGGTTACATCCAAAAGCCTGTAATATGCTAAAAAAAACTTAATTTATGGATTTATGCCAGTAAACAGGGCATGAGTAAGAAGTCTGGTTACACACAGGTAATGTCATGCCTAATTAATTAACATAATGACAAAAGCAAATAAGCAAACTTTCAAGACACCTCGTAAATGTCGTTATTAATCTTAATTTTGGATCATTTAAATTATCATTCTGAAAATGTGAGTTTGTGATATTGCACATTTTCTGAATTTCTCTTCAAAGTATTGGAAAGGATATAATACTCAAAAGGATGTGCATGTAGTCATATAAAAGTATTTGTATTTCAATGTGCGACAGGCTCTCAGAGAAGGAAATAAGCAGGCTCAGATGGAAGAGGCTCCGCGTATTCCTGGAGAAACGATCAAAGCTATTGGTAACAAATTTTAAAACAAGTTGTCTCATTAAAGAACCATCATAAAATTATTTTATTTTTAGGTGGCTAGAGTTGGTCTTCCATGCCAACTCACACTTTTGGTGGTAAATAACCCTTGTATGTTGTGATTTAAAAAATAATAATAATAAATAAAGAATAATTTTTCTTCACAGTCAAAGATGTCATGTACATCTGTCCATTCTCTGGGGTCATAAGGGGCACCTTAACCATCACTGACTTCAAGCTCTACTTTAAGAGTCTGACAAGGGTAAACTCTCTTCTGTAACTCTCTTCTGGGGTAAAAATGCTTATTTTCTTATTTACAGCTTCTAGCACCAACACACCAAACTATAGGAAACATAAACTAAATATTGTTTCCCCTCACGTTAGTGTCTAAGTCTAAAATTTATATAGCTTGAACATGCTGCAAAGTTGTCATAAGTAACAGTTTTTTTAGTAAATAGATTGAACCATTTGAAACTTTCAATGATCCTCCTTTAAATATACACTCCAGGACAAAAAAAAAAAAAAGATCTAAATGTTTTTGAAAGATGTAATCTTTGAGTAGACCTGTCACATTAATCAATATATCATCTTATCGCACAATAAATTGACATGACCTCAATCTTTTTTGGTGATGCTAAATTTATAGCCTATACATAAACTATTCTAGCAGCATTTAAGCTAACATCTCTATTACTATAGAATATGTTAGTGTCCATATGGTTAAAAAATACAGTAGTATTTACTATAAATGACTAATATATTTTCATCTGGGTGTTTGACAACTGAAAATAGATCTGATACCAGTTATCGCAGCCTCTGTTACTTTTTTACCATGCACTTTTATTAGTATTTATTTAGGACAAGAGTTTTCACATTCTGATTCCAATGCGCAATTGTTCAATTGTTAAAGCTACTATAAATAAATGAAATATTTTTAAGAATAAAATATGATATGTTTTTTGGAAGAGTGTACTTTCATTGAGATGATATTATATTGTCATTCTGGCATTATATAATGATGGGTGGATTCTTAAAATGACAGTAATATCATTTATCTCAGTATATTTTGATGCAATATATCGTCCAAAAAAAAAAAACGTGTGTGTGTGTGTGTGTGTGTGTGTGTGTGTGTGTGTGTGTGTGTGTGTGTGTGTGTGTGTGTGTGTGTGTGTGTGTGTGTGTGTGTGTGTGTGTGTGTGTGTGTGTGTGTGTGTGTGTGTGTGTGTGTGTGTGTGTGTGTGTGTGTGTGTGTGTGTGTGTATGTGTGTATTCACCTTATTCTCAGCTGACGAGTGGGCGCTGCCATTTGAATCTTTTTGTCTCGCGACTTCCGATCACATTCACTTCCATTCATTTTTTGACGTTAACAACTGCTGGTTACGCTGCTTGATGTTGCAATTTAATATTTTCTTATAATATTATGCTACTTGGTCTGTGTAGTCATGCAAACATTTGTTTGTTGAGCAAGTAGTTTGGCCATTTTCTGCCGTTTATTATTCCTAGTCATTTCTCCCATAGGCGACTGAATCGGAAGTTCTAAGACAATCGCGAAAACAGGCGCACTTCCGCATTTTAGAATATATATATAATTTAACTTTACACCACTGATTGAATTAGTGCTTTAATTCCAGGGTGTTTTTCTAATTCTATTTAGAACAGATTGTTTGGTTACTGCAGCTGTTAATGTTGTTTTCTGTGTTTGAGATAGGATTCTCCATTTGTACTGGATGTTAATCTTGGAGCCGTAAGCAGACTGGAGTCTATCGCGGTTCAGAGTCACGGGGATGACACTCAAGGACTTGAGATAGTCTGCAAGGCAAAGAACAACTTTTCCATTCTTCAATGACTTCATTTAGTCTCCTTCACACACTTTTAAAAATGAACTTTTTTTTTTCTTCCACAGGACTTGAGAACCCCACGGTTTGCATACAAGAAGGAGGGACAAAGCAATTTGGAAATGTTTAAAATATTGTCAAAGTATGCGTTCCCGCTTTCCCACAACTTGGTATGACATTTTGAACGTAACATACCAATGTTTCATACACTAGCTTCAGGCTTTTAGTATGTTTAATGATACAGACTCCCTATATTCCTTCAGCCTCTCTTTGCCTTTAAGTACAGAGAGACATTTCCAGAGGATGGATGGAAAATCTACGACCCAGTTGCTGAGTACAAGAGACAGGTAACAACTGTCATGCCCAGTGTTGGGGGTAATGCATTACACGTAACGCGAGTGCCGTAATAATATTACTTTTTAAGTTCAATTCAATTCATCTTTATTTCTATAGCGCTTTTAAAATGTAGATTGTGTCAAAACAGCTTAACATAGAACATTATAGTAAATTAAAACAGTGTCAGTCCAGTTTTAGGTCAGTTCAGTGTGGTTTAATTTTCCAAAAAAGTCCAAACACTGAAGAGCATATCCACCGATGCGCAGCTCCACAAGTCCCGAACCATGCAAGTGGCAAGGAACAAAGTTCACCAGTTGGTGAAAGTGAAGGAAAAAATTACCTCGAGAGAAACCAGGCTCAGCTAGGCACAACCATTTCTCTCCTGGCCAAACTTCTTGTGTAGAGCTGCAGTCTAGGCGAAAGCGCAGGAGGCTGCAGAAAGCTGGATGTCCATCGTGGAGAAGCTGCAGGTGGGAGAGGTCACCGGAGAGTGTACAGGCTGGCTCTTTAGGATCAATGCGAAGACTCGTCTGTCACTGGGAATCAGTCTCATGCTCCTCATTCCTCCATGATCACCACAGCCGCTGCTCAGGATACGACCTGGTCCAACCTTGGGAATAATAAAAAAGACTAACATAAACGCAGATACCGTTCAAATTATAATGTCTTTTGGGAAGTGTTCCCAGCTCAGGTTGCCCTAAATAATGCAGACTAACAATCCTTTAGAGGATTTGGATTTTTTAAAAGCATTTGTGTTTTATGTGTATGCTAATGCAAAGAGATGTGTCTTTAATCTAGTTTTAAACCAACAGAAGTGACTAGAAAGTAAAGCATTACTTTTAAAAATTTGAGTTACTTTTTAAATAATGTAATGCGAGTTACTTTTTAGTTTAGTTAATTTTCTTTTTAAAAATAAATTGCTGAATTAAAATTAACATAGTCTCATTGAATCCTGCACTCAATAAGAGAATGCAGGAACAGACAGAAAGACATTTCTGCAATGGAAATATTCTCATTATTTTGAACACATGGAAGACCAGGAAAAGAGGATTATCTGAATGGACAGTAATTTTACTTTCAATTTTTATTAGAGATGACAGAAAAGCAATGTAAGAGCCCATATGCTGTATTTTTGCTCATTAAGACACCCAAGACACCTTAAAAATGTTAATATGTTGTACTTTGAAACTACATAACATCACTGCATTGTACAATGTGGCTTTTTTTGAACAAACATATTCAACAAAAACAGTGTATTGCTTAAGTCGGCTTCTTCTACATTCAAACACATTTATATGTTATATTTTGAACTGCAATAAGGGATGCAACAATTATAAATTTTAGTTGTTTGATTATAGTCTGAAGAATAATCATGGTTTCATGGTTATTATGCATTTATTAAATTAAAAAAACTACTAGTTTAGAAAATCACAAGAAGAGTGCTTATACTTTAAATTGTTGTATATTGCTGCTCAGTAACCAAATACAGCACAAAATAGTAATCAAAAACGAACAATATCCATTTCTCTCTTTGGACTTTGAAATAAATAAGAAAGTTTTTGATTTAAACAAGAGTGACAATATTACAATGAAAATAAATGTTAGAACAATAAATAAAAAAATAAAATATTGTATTTGTTTATTGTTAATTTAAGCTATATATTATCTAAAAATGTAAACGAACTGTTGTTATTATCTGCGTTTAAACACACATAATTATTTTAACAAATTTAATAAATAATTTGAGTAAAGAATTTAACGTATCTTGTGTTTACATTGCACTGAAAGCCACGCACAACTCTTACCACTACAGCTTGAGAATTTCTACTATGTGCGCCTGGAGGGTGCGAGTGCTTCGGTCCGCTTTCATGTTGCATGCGCACCGCTCCCAATATGCGCACGTCTCCATTGGAAATAATGAAATTGTGTGCTGAAAAGACGCAATATGTGAACGGCTTGCTGCTATAGTTAATCCAATGTGCATGCGTATTAGCCTCAGTGTAAGCTCTGAACTTTAAACTTGCACACAGTTCGCATAACTTTGTTTAGTTGCAGCAGTTTTGTTCTGTGCATCAGAAATGCGACGTTAAAAAGCCTTTTCGGTTAATTAACCGTAATGAAGGCTGCACGGTGGTGCAGTGGGTAACATATTCGCCTCACATCTAGAAGGTCACTGGTTCGAACCTCGGCTGGGTCAGTTGGCGTTTCTGTGTGAAGTTTGCAGGTTCTCCTTGTGTTCACATGGGTTTCCTCCGGGTGCTCTGGTTTCCTCCACAGTCCAAAGACATGCAGTACAGTTGAAATGGGTAGGCTAAATTGTCCTTAGTGCATGTGTGTAAATGAGTGTGTATGGATGTTTCCCAGTGATAGATTGCAGCTGGAAGAGCATCCGCTGCGTAAAGCATGTGGTGGATAAGGGACTAATCCAAAAATAAAAAAATGAATGAATGAATGAATGAATGAATGTATAACCATAAGGAATTAAAGTGAAACAGCTAATCATTGCATCCCTATTAATGATATCAGTGCATTGTACAAAAGACCTTTTCTACAAACATATCCAAATGTTTTCGGCTGCTCACGCCACTCGCTTAATGTCAGGTGACTCGCACTCTGCGCAGCCTTTAACTGCAGCTCTTGCTGTAATGAACAATTTAATGAATCTTTATTTCTATATCGCTTTTACAATGTAGATTGTAAAACAGACGCATGTCACTTCATATTCATGGTGACCGTGTGTCACTGTGACACTATTTAGAGGGCCGGAAACATTGCTTCGGGGGCCGGGTTCGACCCACTTGCTGTCAATTGAATAGAATAGCCCTGCTTTAAACTCTTATTGATCTGTTTATACGTCATGTATAGCTCAGAGGTCAGGAAGTTCTTTGAAGATAACATTATCCTACATTAATTTTTTTAATGTTTTTTTTAAAGGCAATTGAAGGTTATACAGTATGTTGTTAATTGCAGAGCTCCTCTATTTACAAAAAAATCCTGCAAGTTCTGAAAGAGATCAAGCCTCTGTCAGATCAGAAAAAAAGTCATGCAAAAGTAACTTTTGAGGAGTAGCTCACTATTGTAATGCATTATTTTCTAAAATAACTTTCCCCAACACTGGCTGCTTAATTTCAAAAGAATGTGTATCAGAATGGGTAATTATTGGGGTATATTGCTCTGATCTACTTTCATCAATGTTGTGGACGATGACAGGGTCTTCCGAACGAGAGCTGGATCATCAGTAAAGTTAACAGTGGTTATGAGGTGTGTGAAACGTATCCTGCTCTGCTGGTCCTGCCTTCAAACGTCACAGAGGATGAACTGAAGAGAGTTGCAGCTTTTAGGGCCAAACGTCGTTTCCCTGTAAGATAATAGTGCATTAATTTGGCTTTACAATTTAGTCTCCATTGCAAATGTTCTTTGACCAATTGAAACAATATCTGTAAATATTTAAACATTTTCATTTAACTGAATTAGTCTTAAACTTATTTTATTAAAGCAAGAGTTCTCATTTTCATAATTGAAAGTTATGTTAAGTCTTGTGATCTGCTTGTTATCAATTCTGACTTAATAACTCGCAATTCTTCGACTTAATAACTCAGAATTATGACTTTATAACTCGGACTTCTGACTTTAAAACTCGGAATTCTGACTTAACAACTTGGAATTCTGGCTTTAAATCTTGCAATTCCGACTTTTTAACTTGGAATTTTGACTTTATAACTTAGAATTGCAACTTTATAACACAGAATTGTGACTATAACTCAGAATTGAGACTTTATGACTCAGAATTCTGACTTAACTCGGAATTCTGACTTTATTGTTCAGGATTGTGATGTTATAATTCGGAATTCTGATATATATCTTTATATATATTTTTTTTACATTGTATTTCTTTTTAATTTATTTATTTAGTGGCGGGAATGGCCTTCCATAGTGAATTAAGCAGAATTTACCCATTTATTTAAGTCTAAAATATGAATTTGTTCTATTACCAAGGTCTTAAATGTTATGGTTTTCCCTTAGGTGCTTTCCTGGATTCATCCTGAGAGTCAGGCCGCTATTGTGCGTTGTGGTCAGCCACAGGTGGGTCCATCAGACCGCCGATGTAGGGAGGATGAACGGTACCTGCAAACAATACTTGATGCCAATGCTCAATCTCACAAGCTCTGCATTTTTGATGCTCGCCAAAGTACTGTGGCTGACACCAACAAAGTAAGAACTAAAGAAATATAAACCCATATAAAGCCCTGTTATTGATTTTGGCATGATTTCCTTGCCGTAAGGGATTCATAATCAACAAATGGGCGTCGTGACACAAGATTCAATTGTTTCTTTTAGTCTAATGTGGCATAGTTGAAGACAACCAATACCATGTGTGCTACGCCTCATGACAGAAAGTCTAGCATGTTTAATTTTTTCCCCAATCTTTACAAAGAGTTCCATCACATGGGTGACACTGAACAATAGGAGCATGTAATATCTCAGTTATATCCACGGGTGCTGTCGCTGAACTGTGGGTCAGGCAATCCAAAAATAGGCTGCATATTAAGGCTACTTATGGGTGAGTCTCGGGTGGAAAAGATCAATCATTGGTTATGCAAACTTTAACTACTTTCTCTAAAATATTAAAGTGTTTTAAGCAATTATATTTGACAGACTGGCACAAATATGCAGACATCTCCATTCTCACAGTGAGTTTCCGAGTTCTCACAACCTTAACCGAGTTTGCTCCTCTGAGGTAATCTGGGAACATAATCAGTGCTGCTAATACATTGTAAGCCTGTCTTGCTTATTAAAATTACTTAATTAAACTAATTAAATTGAAACTCACTGGCAGGATGATTTTGTCATTAAAAATGACAACTGAAAAAATGTAAAGTATAAAATAAGTTTCACTTAAACTTTCACTGAAATTTTATTAGATTATAAAAAACATATCATTTTGTGCTATGGTTCTTGTATAGCGGACTAGTTTTGAAGCATGTCACCTTAGATGTGCACCTTAGAAGGGGACACAAAACTGTCAGTGGGTGCCGTCTTTCGGATGAGACGTTAAACAGAGGTCCTGACTCTCTGTGGTCATTAAAAATCCCATGGCACTTCTCGTGAAAGAGCAGGGGTGTAACCCTGGTTTCCTGACCAAAGTCCCTCTATCGGCCCTTACGATCATGGCCTCCCAATCATCCCCTTCCACCAAATTGGCTCTATCACTTTTTCTCCACTCCACCAATAGCTGGTGTGCGGTGAGCGCACTGGCACCGTTATCTTGTGGCTGCCGTCGCATCATCCAACTGGATGCTGCACACTGGTGGTGGTGTGGAGAGACCCCCCTCATGGTTGTGAAGCGCTTTGGGTGTATGGCCATACACAGTAAATGCGCTATATAAATACACATTACATTACATTACATTACATATTTTTTCGAATGCCCTTAAGTAATGTAGCTTAGTTTTCAGCAAGTATGAGTGTATATTGAGATTGACATAAGATTAAAAAAAATCTCATAAAATTAATAAAATACAAAATATTGGGTCCCACTTGACTTTTGGCCAGCGGAGAAATTAAAATGGTCGTGCCCAACTGAGTCTGGTTCTCTCAAGGTTTTTTTTCTTCACTCTCATCAGGTGAAGTTTTTTTTCCCTCTCCGCTGTCGCCACTGCCTCGCATGGTTCAGGATTGGTAGAGCTACGCATCGATGAATTGGCTCTTCAGTGTTTGAACTCTCAGTAATGATTAAATCACACTGAACTGAGCTAAACTGAACTGAACTTAAACACTAAAAACTGAACTACACTGTTCCAGTTACTGAACCACACTGTTCCAGTTACTATGACCATTTATGTGAAGCTGCTTTGACACAATCTACATTGTAAAAGCGCTATACAAATAAAGCTGAATTGAATTGAATTGAATTATATTAAGTGTCCTTAACTACAATGTACTTACATCAAAAAATAAATACAATGTACTTACAGTGTTTATAATGTATTTGAGAACACTTGTGGTGCTTTTGAGTTGGGATAGAGGTTGGGTTATGGACAGGTTTGGTGGTATGGGTAGGTTTAAGGGTGGATTAAGGTGTAAGGGATGGTCAACAGTGTATTTACAAATGTAAATACAAAAGTTAATTAAAGATGTAATTACATACATGTATTTAATCAAGCATAAGTACACTGTAAATACATGTATTTACACAATAAGTACATTGTAACAAACTATTAATTCCTGTGTAAGTACATATTAGTTAAGGCCACTTAATATAAAGTGGGACCAAATATTGTTATAGCTTCACTTATGACTGCTTTGGGTAATAACGCCCATCATAGAAATTATGGGATGACTGATTGTGAAGGAACGTGTAGTCTGGCACATTTGTTACCCACAAAGTCAAGATTTTATCAAGACAAAATCGCATAAACTGAAATAGTGACTTTCGTAACCGACAATAAAAATCATATGATCTCACCGGGGTTTTATGCCTATTTCAGACTGCGTGATTTTTGCCCCGATTTTGGCTCGCCGACAGATTTTGAGAAATTGCCGACAAATGCCTGAAATCACAGGCAAATTGCTGCTCGTGCACGTGAGTGACAATCACACAGTATGAACTATCAAAGACGCCATCTGAGAGAATCGCCGATGAGTCGCCGATGCCTGTGAGATATTTGGCATGCTAAATATCTGGAGCTGTCGGCGATTCAAATCATGCCGTGTGAATTGAGTTTTGACTGAAAATAACATCAGCCATCGCCTACAGCCAATGAGAGAGCAGCATTCACTTGTGTGTGCGTGTGTGTATACCTGCTGCAGGCCAGCGGGAGGCTGGGGGAGAAGTTAAAAGCGCTCTTTTTTTCTGTTTATTTGGACCCACGAAATGGAGGAAAAACTAGTGGAGGTTTGACAGGACTCAGGAGCAACCGTGTCTGTTTGACGTTTCATACAGAAAGAAATTAGTTTATTATCAACGTTGAGGGGAAATGGCTAATTCCCTTTAAACCCAGGTGAGCAAACATGTACATGTTCTACCCCATCAAAGGCTTCTTTCTCATTATGTAGTTAATAACAAAAGATATACTACGTGTTTTTGGCTGTGAATTGTAGTTTAGACGAAGTTGTCTGCGATTCCTACCCCTCGTTTTGCGCGTGTACTTAAGGGGTTGGGGTGTCCCAATTTTGCTATCTATGATACCTTACATAATAACTCCTTTATAGCAGTCCCACAACTCGATGCTACTTGAATACTCTGTCAGAAATGTCTAGTGGCTGGGAATGAGCTTTTTACAGTGTCTGCTATAATGTTAATGTTGTTTTTTTTGTGTGTGTGTGTGTTTACATATAGGAATATGGCCAGGGTGTAAATACATTGTGCAGTTACAATCTTATTGCCACATTAGATCGTTATGATAACATGATATACGTCTCAGTGACTTCCTGAAGATAAATGCCAAAAAATAACCCAACTGGAATAACTACAGCAGTCACTATGGTCTGATCTCATATGAAGCAAGAGATCGCGATGACATATGATGACGTGTGCAGGTGCTGCAATGGAAATTTCTTAGGGTTAAGAAATTTCTTAGGGGTAAATTAAATTTCTTAGGGGTAAATTTTGAAACCCTTCCTCTTCACACTTGATTTCAAGGGCCAAGGGGATGATATACTAAAATAGAATTGGGATTGGGCCTAATTTAAAATGCGCTGATTGAAACATGTTTTTATTTGAAATTATAGCAACATGTATGATGATTCAAGAACTATTTATCAATTAGAGAAATGTCTATGCAGTGTTTCCTCTAGGGTTTTTTTCCAGCTGTGGCGGCAGGCCTTTTTACACAGATCTACCTACTACCTGTGGCGTTCTTTCAATAACAAATGTCATGAGCGCAGTATTATAAGTCAAGATCGCATTTATGTAATAGCCTACGAGCATGTGAATCTCTTTGCTTGCGTGCCGATTTCTTCTGCTCGTGCACAAAACGTCTGGCACGCCCCTCAAATATACGCTGCTCAAGCGCAGATCTTCTTGTGGGTTCTCAAATAAACGCTGCTAAAGTGTGATTTAATGCATTTATATAACATGGACAATGTCTCCAGCATTTATTAAATTTGATAGGATCATTTATGAATGTCTTCAATAGACCTACAGAGCGCTATTAATGTGTCCTGAAGTAAAGTGAAACGGCTATACGTCGTGTTTGCTTGCCTTACGCATCACGCAGCTGTCAGTCAGTCAGCATGTAACCTGAAAGGGTTAAACAAATAGCGCACAGCGCTACTTCGGTTACGCTGTTATAATTCAATTACCTTTTAATATGTTTTGGTGCAATTATTACCTGTTATTAAAAAAAAAAAAAAAAAAAACTGTTCATTCTAAAATAATAATTTTACTTACTCATTATAAGTGCACTTTAATTACCCAGATGATGCACTTATTCAACCGTTAAAAACAATTGTGGAATGTTGGACACTTTACGCACACTATGGTTGCTGCTTTGAAGGAGCGGAGGTGGTGTTGGATTAATTTATGTATTTTGGCTTGTGAAAGCAAAATTCTCCTACAAGTATTTACCACATCTTGATGGTAAATGCGGTTACACTCATGGCAGGTATTAATTGGTAGTTTGGTCATTTATTTCAGTAATTTGGCAACCGTCAAACGTCATCTGGGACATGGTTTAAATTTCCGCTTAGTAAAAATGGCATCAACGTCAGTGCCTAAAATATATACTAAACTCCAAAGTGTACAAGGACCACAGACTATAGCTGCATCCCAAATGGCACACTATGCACTTACACCTTCAACAGCATAGTAACTATGCTGATGAGTGAATAAGTGCAAAGTGTGCCATTTGGGATGCAGCTATAGTCTGTGGTCCTTGTAACCTTTTGGGATTTCTGTCACATTGCTCAGCTCTGACCAAAATCTGCAGACTAACTTTGATTTTTGTCACCTAGTATCCCAATATTTTTCATTGTAAATGTGTGCTAGGATCATAGCTGTTTTGAAAACTGGTGTTTGCTTTCTGGCTGGTCAATACATGGTCATTCAACAAGCCAACTACTGTACCAGATTTTTTAGCGTTTACTTCTTCTTTTTTTTTTTTTTTTTTTTTATAGGCCAAAGATGGAGGATATGAGAATGAGAGTTTCTACATCAATGTGGAGCTGAACTTTCTGGAAATACCCAACATACATGTGATGAGAGAATCCTTAAGGAAACTCAAGGAGGTGGTGTATCCTGCCATTGACCAACAACACTGGTTCTCAAATGTGGATGCCACTCACTGGCTAGAATACGTCAGGGTGAGAATTTGGATTGTGTCAGTAAACCATATTAGTTTTGTAGCATGATTGAAATCATACTTTATCAAATGGTCATCATTATATTAGAAGTATGTTTGTTTAAGTCTACAAGCTGAGTCTGTAGCATGTTAAGAGTTAGTTATTAGTGACTTAATGTCAACATTTGGGGCCATGTTATAATTTAAGAAGAAGTTATTAATTTTAATAATAATAAAAAATTATCAAGAAAACAGAGTAATTTACAAGAAGTTCATAAGCTTGTTGCCAAGAGATATTTTTGAGTTTTCCAATAATTTTAACAAGAAAATACTTTGAGGGATCAAGCATAGGATCTGGCATTATTTGTATTGCGACTGTGGGTGAAAACTCAAAACAAGATATTATATTCAATATTTTGAAGAAATATGAAACCCTGTAACCACTGACTCCACAAATACTATGAAAATCAGTAGTTGCAGGTTTGCAGATTTCTTCAAAATATCATCTATTCTGTTCAACAGAGAGTTCATCAAGATCGCTAAAACTAAACTGTAAAAATACTTTGAAAGCAAATTACACCTGAGAGAGATGACTCCAAGTTTAAATATTAGAATGTCTCAAAGGAATGTGGCATAGGGGGATAACTGGGAATAGAACACAGCCTTGGAACTATGTTTCTAACTACTGCTCCAGAGGTGTAGTTGCAAGTGTACAAGTTTGCGATGCAGTTTGCCAATGTTTATTGAAACGAGGGATTTGGGAAACGCCAAATCAATGAACTATGTTTGTAACGACGGAACTTGGGACCTTAGTTGGCTAACGATGGTTTTTGGAAACGCACCCCAGATTAGAAATAAGTAAAGGGTGAGTAAATTATGACAATTTTCATTTTTGGGTGAACTATCCCTTTAATTGCTGTCTTTATTTTTGTCAATTTCCATCACATCATACAGAAACCTAGGTTCCCATTGGAGTATGAAATTTTAGTAAAATTCTTAGTCGTGTTAAACATGCTTATGACCAATCAGTCTATTCATTGGCATCAATTCAGGGAACTCAAAATAAAATAAAATCCAAAAACAAAATGCTAATCAAATATTTCATTTAAAAATAATTTTTCATTATGTATTTATACTTGCATTTAAGATAAATGTGCAGAACTATTCAAATTTTTGTCTTTCTAACATTTAAGTTGCTTAATTAATGATTTAATGTGGTATATTATTTAATTTACTTAAAGGGTTAGTTCACCCAAAAATGAAAATTCTGTCAATGATTACTCACCCTTATGTTGTTCCAAACCCTTTGCGGAACACAAATTAAAATATTTTTGATCAAATCCAAGAGCTGTATGACCCTGCATAGACCACAATGGTCCAGAATAAAATGCTATGAAACAGTGAAAATGTTTGCATCGACATCAGCATCAAATTTTTTGCCTTAATCTAATTAAGACAATAATATGAATAAGGTGTTTACATGAGTTTCCACAATTCCTCCAGAGTTTTATGTAATTTTGGGTGTTACACTTAAAATTTTTCAACTTTAACTGCTGACTGGCACTTTCACTTTTATTCAGGAATATTGCGCACATGTCCCTGTAACAAACGAGATATTGGATGCGTGTATGAACTGCTGGAAGAGTGTTGTTTTAATAGAATTTGATACCGCATGCCGAAAGGGGAAAAAATCTCTGCATTTCATGATGTGGTTGTCTTTGGTCCTTCACGGACTCATTAGGTGCTGAGAACAGTGTCAAACAGTGTTGTGTTTATGTGTGTGTGCGTGTGTGCGTGCGTGCGTGCGGATTATCCTGTGGCAAAATGCGCTGAAAATCCTACACGATGGTAATAGTTTAATAGAGATGTTTACATGTCTGTACTGCACTTAAGTAATGCAATTAAAATCTGCATACTCCACATGTCAACTCCTAGTCAACTTTAGTGGTTCAAACTGAATATTGTTGGAAAATTGCTCTATAATTCCATGCATGTTCAATACAAACTCAGGAGGCGGAGATCAATTTCAAAAGTAGTAGTAATTTATTAGGCACAAATGAATAATTAATAGGGCCCTGGGTTGCACAAATATGTCCTATTGGTTATACAATGCTACCCAAGAGAACACATGAGGCACTCTGCATGTGCTTCCTTGGGACTAAAGACCCATTTTATAATCACAAAGAAGGCGGGTTGTCTCCCTGTCACCTTTTCTGCACCGTCTGTGCTTCCCTTTTTCTGCACAGAGGAACCGAAGAGTTAAATGCACAAGCTTTGAGGCCTCCATAGGCCCTAATATGTTTTCATAAATGGTTACTAAGGAAATCAGAAGTGAGAGATACACTCTATTTTTGTTGTTTCTGCTGCACCTTTCTTGTCCAAGATAGCTCCTTTTGCAAAATGCTTCATAAGTATGCAAAACACATCTCACTCCAAATAGTTTTTGTTAAAAATATAATTTAGCAGAGCATACAAAATATTTCCAATATAGAGTGAAGAATGACTGTAAATGCAAATGGTTTAACATATCTTTAGCACACACAACATACAGTTAAAGTCAGAATTATTAGCCCCCTTTGAATATTTTTTTCTTTTTTAAATATTTCCCAAATTATGTTTAACAGTGCAAGGAAATTTCCACAGTATGTCTGACAATATTTTTTCTTTTAGAGAAAGTCTTATTTTTTGTTTTATTTTGGCTAGAATATAAGCAGTTTTAAATTTTTTAAAAAACATTTTAAAGTCAAAATTATTAGCCCCTTTAAGCTATATTTTTTTTCGATAGTTAACAAAACAAACCATCTTAACTTGTTTAATTACCCTAACCTGCCCAGTAAACCTAATTAACCTAGTTAAGCCTTTAAATGTCACTTTAAGCAGTATTGAAGTGTCTTAAAAAATATATCTAGTATATATTATTTACTGCCATCATGGCAAAGATAAAATAAATCAGTTATTAGAAATGAGTTATTAAAACTATTATGTTTGGAATTGTGTTGAAAATAATCTTCTCTCCATTAAACAGAAATTAGGGGAAAGAATGAAAAGGGGGCTAATAATTCTGACTTCAACTGTATTTGTAATAATGAATAAAGGATATCACTAATGAGAAATAAAAGTATGAATTCTATTTCCTTACAATATTATGAAGCTACAACAATAATTTTGTACATACATACTTCTCAGTGTCTGTACAGGCCAGTGTTTCCCAACCACGTTCTTGGAGGCCCACCTACACTGCAATTTTTGGATGTCTCGTTTATCTGTCACACCCATTACAGGCCTTTCCAGGGTGTCCGTGGTGTTGTGAAAGGTAGTAAATGAAATTAGCCAAAATTAAGGGCATTAAAAATACGGTTATAATAATAATAAAAATAATTAATTATTAAATAGTTAATAGTTAATTTTGATATAAAATAAATTAAATATATAAAAGAATTATCTAATATTTTGGATTTTTTTTCTTCTTTTTTGTGTGTTTGGGTGGGTTTTGGACAGCTTTTAATCTGGAATAAGTCCACTATATTTGGCAACACTAGTGGTAGCTTGGCAACAGAGCAGCGACATCAACACACAGAATCTATCGGCACAGTTCAGCACAGGTTCATTTCAGGCCGAGAACAGTTTGTAATCGTGCTGCGTAATTCCAGGCTCAGTGGAGAAACAACAATAACTTCACCGAATTGTTCTCAGAAGAGCGGCTATTGACATTGATGACATATATAATTAAAATCTATGGACAAAGTCCCATTGTGACATTTTGATTAATCCCTCTGCTTTACTTAAATGGATATGTTATCTGCAATATGTAATTCTATTTGGAAAGATATTTACACCACTACAGTTGCAGCTCTAAGTCGTGCTGGTATTATTATTACTTTTTTGAAGGTATTAAAAGGTATTAAATTCAACTTAAGAAGTTCTGCTTTCAGTCTCTATTAATGAGCTGATGATCGAAATCAGGTGTGTTTGGTTAAGGAGATATGGAAAATGTGCACAGCTGGTTGTCCTCCAGCAACATGGTTGAGAAACACCGGTAAAGGGAATGTGTTAATAATCACAGTGCACTGATGTACCTTGGATGCCAGTGCTCAAATTCCTCAGAAAGGACAGACGCATCCGATGTATATGTCTGCAGTGCAACATGCATAAAGAGCACAGCGCAGTTCAACACACATGTCTATGTGCCCGAGAATAAACTGTTAAATACATTTGTGTTTGTGTGTATGTGTGCACAAAAGGATTCTCATAACCTGGTCATATTCTGATTGAACCACTGAAGGCATGTGCTCAGTTTTGAGAATATGTTTTGGTATTTTTCTGGACTTTGAACAACTTTGCAGCTTGGAGGATAAGGAAGTTCTCAGATTTAATCTAAAATGTCTTCATTTATAGTCTCACGATGAATAAAGGTCTCTGGTTAAACAACATGAGGGAGAGTAATAAATAGCAAAAAAAATAATACAATTATGTATAATTTTTCAAAATTATGATTAGCAAAAGCCCACAAAATTTAACTAATAAAATATTTCCAAATCAACAACACTTACAAATATTCAAGTTATTTTCTTTTTTAGCTCTTGCTAGCTGGTGCTGTTCGGATTGCCGACCGAATCGAGTCAGGGAAGACATCAGTGGTGGTCCACTGCAGTGATGGCTGGGACCGCACAGCTCAGCTCACCTCTCTGGCTATGCTCATGCTAGACGCACACTACCGATCGCTTAAAGGCTTCCAGGTGCTGTTGGAGAAGGAGTGGCTGAGCTTCGGGCACCGCTTTGCTTCGGTCAGTATCATCCTGCATTTATATGAAAAAAAAAATCTACAGTGTCACAGGATTAAATTTTCTTTCTGTCTTTACGTCTGTTAGCGTGTGGGACATGGAGATGGGAATCATGCAAACTCTGAGCGCTCGCCTCTGTTTGTTCAGTTTATAGATTGTGTCTGGCAAATGACCCGGCAGGTGAGGAAAAACTCTGATAATGCATACAATTAAATATATAGTATGATGGCACTATTATATGATCACTTTAAAGGTTTTACTAGATCTTTCTCTTTTGTTCTTTCCATAGTTTCCTTCTGCATTTGAGTTCAATGAGCTATTTCTCATCACGGTACTCGATCACCTGTTCAGTTGCCTGTTTGGGACATTTCTTTACAACAGTGAGCAAGAACGGGTTTCAAAGGCAAGAGCAGATGCATTAATTGTTTTGAGATAATGTCACTTGGTTTTAAATAGGGGTATGATATTCTACTACTAACCTTAATTATCTAATCTGATACTAGCCTTTATCACAGATTGGCAGATGGGACAGATCAAAATGGTATACTGCTATGTTATTTCTGTTTAACAAACAATATCATCTTTCTTTTAAGTATCAAAATTATTATAAATATTTGTATTGTAGGACTTCTAAAGACATTCTGTAATTTATTTGAGGTGCATAAAAATTACTAAATAAAAAATGTTACATTTAAGTTCATGGAAAAACTAGAGCCAAATTCATGGTTCTATTTTAACGATCTAGGCGCAAAGTCTAAAGAGCAAAAGCATTAAGGCTGTGTCCGAATCCACTTTTGCTATTTTAAGGATGGATAAATATGGTCTGCGCCATGGTGCATAGTCTAACAGGGTTGTGCTTCTTTTCTTAATGAGTTATTATGGGTGTGTTTTGAGAATAAACCAATCAGTCTCATCTCCCATTCCCTTTAAGAGTCAGTTGAGTCGTGCCATGGTGCATTTGCTATTTACATGGCAGACTTGAGTGGAAAACTCAAGGCTTCATTAGCGAGAAACCAGTTAAACATGCCACCTTCAGTATGAGGATAAAGAACGAGCCTCCTTCAGTTGGTCTTTACTTTCTCTTTCTCTCTTTCGTTGATAAGGAAACTGTGGTGTAAGCACAGACATCCATTAGCCTACATAATTATCTAACGCGGCGAAGCAGTGGTGCAGTAGGTAGTGCTGTCGCCTCACAGGAAGAAGGTCGCTGGTTCGAGCCTCGGCTCAGTTGCTGTTTCTGCTGTTTCAGAGTTTGCATGTTCTCCTTGTGTTCGCCTGGTTTTCAACCACAGTCCAAAGACGAGTGGTACAGGTGACTTGGGTAGGCTAAATTATCCGTAGTGTATGAGTGTTTGTGTAGATGTTTCCCATAGATGGGTTGTGGCTGGAAGGGCATCCGCTGCATAAAAACTTGCTGGATAAGTTGGTGGTTCATTCCACTGTGGTGATCCTGGATTAATAAAGGGACTAAGCTGACAAGAAAATGAATGAATGAATAAATTAACTATCGCGCTCTACGCTGGACTTTAAACCTGCTTTCAACTTTCAGTTCCTCAATATAATAATGCGCTTTAACACACCTCTTTTCTAGACCAAACACCTATAAGTCCACAAAATTTCACTAATGGATTTTTATTTTTATTTATTATTATTTTTTTTATTTTAATTTTATTTTATTTGCTATTTAAACAAAGTGGCGAATAATAGGAAAAATAAGGCTGCGTTAGTCTGAAAATAGCAACATGTCAGGGCAAACACGTTATGCGCCTTATTGCGCCGGGTGTATGATAGGGCCCTCAGTTTCCGGGTAAAATGTTCTCTTTGATGCTAAAAGAGGCTTCAAACAATCTGTACAAAAGTCTCTTTAATGGTGGTTCTAAATGATGTGGTGCGTCTGCAGTGAATTCACAAAATTATTAAAAGTTATAACGAACTGTTCTTATGTATGAAGATGAAACTTATAGTTTTGAAAATGAATATTTTTATACATTTCTCAGTGAATATTTACAATATGTTTTGATGCATTTAAACAAAACAGTTTTATTAAACATATATATTGATAAAAATAAATTGTTGATCACCTAATGACTTTAGGCATAGAAAAATAGTACATTTAAATTAATTTAACCCCTTGACTGCCCCTCTACCAAACGGTTAACCATGTTTTTACTGTTTTAAATAGTGACTGTGAAAATCATTTAAAAAATGACTGTTTCAAATAAGGGCTTAAGGCTGATTTATACTTCTGCGTCAAACACCGGCGTAAGCTACGGCGCTGACGCATAGCCCTTCGCCATGGCCATCGGCGTCGCTGATGTGCACCTCTCAAAAAATGTAACTACATGTCGCAACGACGTGTAGCGCAAGCTCTGTGATTGATCGGCTTGGTATCGCTGACGAGTCTGGGCGGGACCGAGAGCCGCGTGAATGGTGCGAGCCTGATGGAGCGATTGTCTACAAGTGTGGAGTCCCTTGAAGGAGCTCCGGATGGAAAGTTTTGTTTTGTGTTTACCTCATAGTAAAAGTTGTTGCATGTCCGCCGGTTCCTGCCCTTAAAAAGAGCGAGTTTAAGCCACTTGTACATCCCGGAGATGTTCAGGAAAACAAAACAGCAGCGAAGAAACTCGACACAGAGGAACATTTACACCTCACTGCCAACTAGCGTTTTGGAAGTGTTAATGCTGACCAACAGAGACAGCGCGCAGAAGTATAAATGCACAGCTACGCGCGTTGCATGCGCCGTGGGTTACGACGGTCACTTGACGCAGAAGTATAAACCAGGCTTAACTCGCACAGCACTGTTGATTTACAAAAACAATCAAGTGAACATTAACATTAACCATGTTAATCTATTTTCAAAACTACTCTTGATGTCTGATACAGATAATACTATTGTATATTATCTATATTGGACATCAAAAATGGTTTTGCGTTCTTTTGAAATAATTCTGTCATGATTATTAACCATCATGGTATTCTATCATGCTTTTTCAGGAGGTTTACAACAAGACTGTGTCTTTGTGGTCATATGTGAACAGCCAGATTGAGGAATTTACCAACCCACTGTATGTGAACTACGAGCACCACGTTTTATATCCAATTGCCAGTCTTAGACATCTAGAGCTTTGGGTCAGTTATTATGTGCGCTGGAACCCTCGCATGAGGCCACAGGTGAGAAGGGATTTTTGTATGTTTTATAACCTTTTTTATTATTATTATTATTATTTCATGGAAATGTGGCGTTTGGGAAACCTCTTTGAAAAGTATCATTATTGCACACCACTTATTAAGTAAAATTACTCGCGTTTAAATACAATCAGATACTTCACACTTTAAAACAATCCAGTAACTTAATTTTAATTTGGTGAAATTTCCATTTAAAATGAAAGTTAGAATGTGTTTAAAATGTATGCATAGATATATTTGTTCTTATATTCAAGAATAAATAACATTTTTAAAAGTATTTTACATTTTTATTTTAAAAACTTTTAACAAGAGTTTTGTATGTTTGTCAGGTTCCTATACATCAGAGTTTAAAGGAGTTGTTGGTCCTAAAGTCAGAGCTGCAGAAAAGAGTGGAGGATCTAAAACAAGATGCAGCTTCATCAAATTCTCTTTCCTCCTCAGAGCATGAAGGCATGCCCATGCAAACTACTGTCTGAGTGTGTCTCATTTGGTAAACTTTGTAGTCGTAAATGATATTTGCTCCCATCTCTGTTGTCACATTCGGATAATAACAATGTTTACATATAATACAATTCTAGTGTAATGCTTGGAAAATAACCACATTGTGGTCATTGATGCCCCCTATAGGAACTACTGGCAGTGCGTTCACTCACAACACTCTTTCCAATAAATCTTTTAATCATGCCAAATATGAAAACTGTTAATAGATTTGCTTTGTTCTAGTGAAACATATTTGTTAGACACACCACCTTCAGACGAAATGTAAATAATTTAAATGTATTTAAATTATATTTGTCTAATGCATGCACTTTTATATTGTTTTTGTTATACACATTTTATAGCATTATTTAATTTTTTATAAAAAAAATTAAACACATTTGAGTAACTTTTCATATTAATATATGTACACATGATTGTGTTGAACAAATAAATAAAACATTTGCAGTTCCATTTCATCTGTATGTCTGTAGCGCTTTTTTACAATGTACATTGTGTCAAAGCAGGTTAATGTAGATGAAGTTCTGCTAAATTAATTCTACAACAGTTTCAAACTTCACTGAAAAACCTCGAGAGAAACCAGGCAGCCCAATTTCTCCTTGTTCGACTCCAAACATCTTGATTTGCAATTTGGTCACCGGAATTTATTATTATTATTATCATACGGTCATGGAATACCTAGAAAAGTCATGGAATTTTGACATGGCATTTTCCAGGCCTTAAACTTATGAATAAACATAAAAAGCTTCTTATAAATTAGCTTCTTATAAAAAAAAAGATATATATATATATATATATATATATATATATATATATATATATATATATATATATATATATATATATATATATATATATATATATATATATATAGCCTATTTTTACATTTAAAAGTAATAATTTAACAGTAATACATTTAAAAATGTTTGTTTAATATGGGTTGTATACTAGTATTCCACTATTTTACATAGACGGGCATAACCTTTGAGTTCTGAATAAGCCAAAAAGGCACAACCCACCTGTTTACTGTAGTAAAAAACACTTTCTATGTTCCAGTGCATTTTTTGTTTCCATGTATTAAATAAATAAACTGACACTCTTCTAATTAAACGACCTATATCTATCTATCTATCTATCTATCTATCTAATCTACACACACATTCATTCATTAATTTTCTTGTCGGCTTAGTCCTTTTATTAAAAAAGGGGTCGCCACAGTGGAATGAACCGCCAACTTATCCAGCAAGTTTTTACGCAGCGGATGCCCTTCCAGCCGCAACCCATCTCTGGGAAACATCCACACACACACTCATACACTTCGGACAATTTAGCTTACCCAATTCACCTGTACCACATGTCTTTGGACTGTGGGGGAGACCGGAGCATCCGGAGGAAACTCACGCGAAGGCAGGGAGAACATGCAAACTCAACTGAAACGCCAACTGAGCCGAGGATCGAACCAGCGACTCAGCGACCTTCTTGCTGTGAGGCCACAGCACTACCTACTGCGCCACTGCCTTTTAATTTTTTGTTTTAAATGCAAAGCTTTTTTAATTTGACCAAATGATGTGGTCTTCACCCATATCATAAATTTTAACTACCCATTAATAACATTTATCATGTTTTTTAAAACAACAAATCGAATAACCAATGTCACGGTACTTTACATCTATTTAATTCATTTTATATTTTACTTTATCCACATTTTTATTAGTCCATTGAGGTACAGTCTGAACTTTATTTCTGAAGATTTTAATTAAATAACCGTTTTTAGACCATCCTAAACATGCTACATTCTTTCTACTTCCTATGCAGCAAACGTACAGCATGCACTTTGTTTCGTGTACAGTTCACGCTCGCACGTGCTTTGCCACAGAGCTTTTTTCTGTTTTGACAGCAATTCCCGCCTTGTTTTTGGAAAATGAGGAGTGGTTTATGCCTTTATCCAATGACGGCACACGAAGTTTGAATATGCATGAGCTTTTAAACCAATCCACAGTAATGGAGGCCGTTTTAAATGCCTTCCGGGACTGACCAATCAGGTAGGTCTCGTAGTGAGCTAGCGCGAGGCTGTGTGGTCTTCCATAGAGGAAGCGTGAGGCCGTGTGATTGAGGAGAACAGACGACAGGACAAACATAAGAAGGTATCTTTCAAACGCTTGGTTTGAATCTATAGGTTGTGACCCAATATTTTCTTAAAAATATTAATTAATGTTTGTAAGCGCTTGTTTAATGTGTAAGTTATATTATATATATAAACCTCGTTTACGTTGACAATGTTTTAATTTGTTCTAAACTCTTTGATTTCTCTTTGTAGTTTACAGTTTTGCAAATCTGTATTTTATTTTTGTTATACCGCTGTCGATTGACAAAGTTTAGTGATATGTTTTTAAATGGTTGGTGATTTTAAAATATTAATCTGCATATATATAAAAAATCACGAGCTGGTAAATGGCCAGACATGTTGAAAAATGCATAGTGAATTCTTAACTTTAAGTAATTGTTTCGTTTTATGTGCCCGCTGGTTATTAAGAGCTCTGAGTCTTTTAAGCGTGGACAGCCAATGCCAGTCATGGCTGGTTTTAACTCTTTGGTCTTTGTTACGTACGGGCTTGTATCAGGTGCTAATTTGCGAATCCTAGCATGGCGAAGAGTTGGCTCCTGAATATTTGAGTTTTTTTTCTTTATATTTTGCCGTTGCTGCGTGAAAGTCCAGCAACGTAACTGAATATATATATTAACTATTTTTTTTCATAACGTTCGTGTAATTCATAATTCGCTCTCTGGCTCTTTAACGCCTCCCATGACGCCAACCAAACAAGGTTACATTGTAGGCCCATATAGTAGCCAGGGGGGTTCAAGTGGTTCGAAAGACCCACCCCCCCATTGACAAAGGTCCAGAATTTGTCCCATATATGATCTTGTCCTATTTTAACCGCTATTCCATCATAAATTGTGAAAATAACCCATCGATGAAGGCTTTAAGACCAAGTGGAATCCTCTGTTTTCTGTTGTTACTTTAGCTGATCAGTTTTAGACAATGCAAACAATTACTATTTTTTTTTTATGAGTCAAACTTATATGCAAGAAAACATACGATCTGAGTAAAGTGGAGTCATCTTTTACTATCTACTGTCCTAAACCCTGCCGCTGTATTGTTGTTAAATAGAGAAAACCCAAGTAACTTATTCTGAACCTTGGACCTTGTTAATGAAACAAAATATGAACAATAAAGCACCAAAGGCAGCCCATATTAAAGTTAATTTTAATGTTAATTAAGTTATTGTTATCCATGATTTTTCAATGTAGCATTTTTACAAGAGAAAAATCTAGAAAAATTGTGAAGCTCTACGTTTATTATTGTTTTTTTTTGTTTGTTTTTTCATTCAAATGACCAAATTGTAACTATGAAATGTGTTGAATGTGCTGGCCATATTGTTATATGCCTAATAAATGAACATAATCTACATTAAAAAAAAAAAAATGAATCCTATTTTTTTAAATGATGTAATAAATTAGTATTTTATAGTACGTTTTGTTTTCAAAATCTTTAAGGAAATTTTTTGGTTCTGATGACCATCTGACAAGAGTGCTTAAAATATTACTAAAATTCAGTATTTAAACCTCATAATTAAAAAAATAAAACTAAATAAGGTCCACTTTAGGGAAAAAAGGAACCCCTCTTTCACCAGGCTGGCTACGGACCAGCAACCAATGAGTTATCAATGTACATGAGTGTACATTTAAAAAAAAAAACAAGATCTTGGTTCTTTTTTTGGTTTGGGGTAAGAAAACGGATAAATTGATTTTAAATTCATTATGTAAATGTAGGCGGTGCTGAAACACCCTTTTTTTTCCCTCTGATTGACCAACCAAATCTGAGCTTGTGACGTCACCCTCAAAATACAACTTCTTTGTGGATCAACACCCAGGCTTTTAATTATTGTTATTATTATTGAATTTTATACAAACATTTTTTTTAAATAATAATAATAATAATGGATATATATTTATTTATTTATTTATTATTTTTTTTTTTTTATTTATTTTTTCTTGCTGCTCTGCACCTGATGCGGAGCAAAAATGACTATTCCCAAGCACCTGGTTTGCATGATTGTTTCAGAGCTACTGTAGACCTAAATAACAATAATTATAATAAAAATAACTTGGGTTAATAATAATTAAAATTGTTTACTTAGTGTTTTTATTGTTTAGCTTTTTATTAGTTGTTTGCAATACCAGAATAAGAACACATTGGGCCATGGGCCTATAACAAAGCGTACCATTTGTTTATATTTTATTATTATTTTGAGGGCGACATCACAAGATTAGATTTGGTTGGCCAAGCAGAGAAAAACGGGCATTTCAGCACCACTTATTGAATTTTAAAGTCATTTATCTGTTTTACTACCCTAAACCAAAAAAAGAAAATAGAACCAAAATCTCTTTTTTTTTCTTAGTTCATGCAAAAGAAAAAACGAAAAATGGCAGTTTTCCTTTTTTTTTTTTTTTTGAAAACTTTTATGGAATGGACGGAAGAGCCTGATTTTTAAAGTACTCTTGTATTGATTTGATCTCAATCTTATTTTGAAAGTCGCAGTTTAAAACGAAGTTCATTTTATAATAATATTCTGTTGTCAGTGTAAGCTTTGTACCATTACAAAACCATTAGTTTATGCTTTTACAATGTCAGCAAGTGTGTATTAAACATTAATTCAAAGCATACAATATTATGGACCAATCGGTAGCAATCAGAGAATTCCAAAAGAATTCAGCACTGGTCACAACCCATAAAGCAAAGAAAAGTGTTAGTCTCTTTCTATGCTTATTATAGACTTATGGACTTATTTTAAAAATTCTGTTAACTGCATGTTATGATAATTATGCTATACATTTGCATGTTATGATAGTTATGCATGGTATCTCATTTGCATTGTAAAATGTCTTTACATATTGTACATAATATTAATTAAAAGAAAACTGTTGCATATTTTGGTATAAAACATTTTTATGCAATTCTAGGTGTGGGAATATTTTAGTGGCTTTGTAATAATGGCTAAGGGTGATCCAGGGAAACCCAAGGGCAAGATGTCTGCCTATGCCTACTTTGTCAAGACATGTCGTGAAGAGCACAACAAGAAGAACCCTGGTGTTACGGTTAACTTCTCAGAATTTTCCAAGAAGTGCTCTGAGAGATGGAAAGTAAGTAGATTTATTATCTGGTGTTGTCTATATCCTAAAACCAAATAAAACATCTTCTAAAACCCTTATTTGTTGCAGACCATGTCTCCGAAAGAGAAGACTAAATTTGAAGACCTGGCCAAACAGGACAAGGCTCGTTATGATCAGGAAATGATGCACTACAATCCAGGAAAGAAAGGTCGGAAGCAGAAGAAAGACCCTAATGCTCCAAGGCGGCCACCGTATGTCTTTAGTCTTTAGTACTTTTCGTCTGTCTTTCTGTCTGTCTGTATGTCTCTCTGTCTCAGTGATTCTGGATTATGGCTGGGGCGGGGCAGCAATTCAAGTGATTTTTTTCAAGTGCATTTTGTCAGTAAAGCTGGTTCTAATAAATTGATTTATTCAGACAATATGGGCATGGAGATATGGGTAGTGTGATAATAGCTGCAATGAGTTCAATCCGTGCTACAGTTTTTTTTTTTTTATTCCTGGTTAAATTGAGACTCTCTATGTGCAAAATTGCTCGACAGGTTGTTTACGTTTGTTGTGAGGAATCATTTCAGAACGTAGGATAGTGAAAGTGTCTTGGGTGGATGACGTCAAACTTCCTGGGTGTTTTCTTTTGTGTTTGGCGCATCTTCATTGTCATTCGGTCTGACTTTGACAGCTGAGATCTTACAATGTGAAAGGAGCCATGTTCTTGCAGTCTGACATGCTACAATTGTTCGAGTTAAACAAAAAAATGGAGTCGTGTGAGCCTGCCTTTGACCAAAAAGTAAGCTTATGCTGAGTTCAGACTGCATGATTTTAGCCCTGAATTTGACTCTCTGACAGGTTTTGAGAAATTGCTGACAAATGCATGAAATCAGAAGCAAATCGGTGCTCGTTCATGTGAGTAACTATCACAGTGTGAACTATTAAAGATGTGATCATAGAGAATTGCTGATGAGGCATGACTTAAAATCATGCTGTGAAATGTGTTCTGATTGAAAATAACATTGGTGATTACCTATAGCTAGGCCCACATGGATTCTGCATGCTCAGAAATCCATAGACGTTTAGCCCATCATTCAGTTTATATATTTACTTGTGTAGATGTGTGTAAATTTATATTTATTAGGGATGTCAAAAATAATCGTTTTTTCGGTGCACTGCGATGCAGAAGCGGACAATTCGGTATCGGTTCATTAATAATCATAACCTTTTATTACTGACGTCATTTACCTCAAATGCGCTCTGTCGCGAGGGTGGCGATCGCGAGTATTTACAGCGCTTTAACTACTTAAAACTCATAAACTGTGCACAATTTCACTGTGTGTTTGCTGGATCAGTCTTTCACTGACATATACAACAATAGCCCCTATTTCACTGAGATCGAGAGAATGAAAGTAGCCTACTCCATTTCTCTCTCTCTCTCTCTCTCTCTCTCTCTCTCTTTCTCTCTCTTTCTTACACACACACAGTGGCCCATTTGACCTGCTGGCGTGGCTTTTCTTCTCTTCTCGGCTGTTTTACAGCGTTACTTTTTGCATCCAGAAACGAGCACGTGTCTGCAGAGTTTTCTCCACCGTGTCTATTATACATCAGCTGTGAGATTGCCGCTGCCGCCTGCTGCTTATCAGCATCACTCATCTATGAAGAATGCAGCGCGCAAGAGCCAATCGCAACCGTTTTTTTTTTTTTTTGAGGGTGTGACCAATCAAAGGGGTGTAAGAGAACTAGACAAGGATCAGAAATTGAGCTGGATATTTATATTTGTTTATTATTTGCTAAATGCTCGTTTTGTTTAAAGTTACAGTTTATGTATCTGACTGTTTGTATTAAATGACAAAATTGTATTACTGATAGTACATTTGTAGTGTAGGTTCACACCTCTAATATTTATACAGTTTTTTAAATTAATTTTTGTAATTTTGTTGTGATTTATAATAGTAATATTAAAATGTTGATTTTATTTATTCACTACACAGTTTATAAAGTAATATTTTTCTGTCTTTCAGTAATTGTTTTTATATGAGAGACTTGCTTTGCTTACTAAATAAGTACATCGAATTGAATTTGCATTGTAAACATAATATAAAAGTTAAATTATTATTTTATACAATAAGTTTTTAATTAAGATTCTCCTAAATTCATTCCACAAATCTGCAGAATTTTTTTATTTTTTTTTTTTACAAAACTCTCAGCAGAAATGGCAAAAAATGTCTGCAGATTCTGTCTGGCTCTACCTAAAGCCAATGAGAGAGCAGCATCTGCTAGTATAGGTATCTGAAGGCCAGTTTTTCTATTTAGACCCAAAAAATGGAGGAAAGACTAGTGAAAATTTTGCAGGAGCACCCGTGTCTGTTTGACATGTCATACAACCAATACCACAATCTGGTCAAAAAACAAACAAACTGCTAAATCCTTTCAAAACCCAGATGAGCAAAATAAATGCATTTCCTACCCAACTAAAGGCTTCTTTCTCATTATGTAGTTAATAATGTAGCCTATACTATGTGACCTCGTGTTGTTTCCATGCCACTTCTCACATGTGTTTGGTTGTGAGATGTAGTTTGCGGACCGAAACAAATTTGTTAGCAACTCTTCTTATTGTAAAGTCATGGAATGTGAAAAAACCTGTCACTGAGCAATCTTGCAGTTTACACACCTAAGCGACTGAATGCTACCCCAGATAGTCATGCAGTGTAAAAACATCTGTGATGTGAATATTTTGAAAATCATGCAGTCTGATCTTGGCATTAGTAACACAGCACATGTAATAGTTTAAAACTAATGTTAACCTATGAATATAAACTATTTTAAATGCCTTTGAAAAAATATATTTTAAGATCACAGCTAAAAAGTCTATGTGCCATTGGTCACACTTAAGTTGATCCATTGAATATTGCCCAGAACTAGATCTCAATAAACTATTGAGCATATGGCTTGATAGACTTCAATGTCATGACCAGGGGCCTCATGTACGAAGACTTGCGTGGAAATCATACTAAAACATTGCGTACGCACAAAGCTGTAAATGTGCGTACGCAGAAAAAAAATGTATGAAACACTGTGTACGCCGAATCTCACGCATATTCTTTTGTACATCTGAATGAACGTGAAACTGAGCGCAACATGCACGAGCACAAAACCCCTCCATGCCTCCTCCCCCGTATGAATATGCTAATGACTCTACTTTGGCAAAACCCAACAAAAAAGCTAAGGCAAAAGCAAACAAGAAGAGAAACTTTGAACAGAATGTGAATTGGAGGTGCTCCTTTCGGAGGTAGACCGGAGAAAAGCGGTGTTATTTGCAAATTTGTCCTCCGGAATTAACAACAACATAAAAAAATAGAGTGGGAGAGTTTAGCTGATGCGGTTAACACAGTTGGGTCTGAACATCACTGAGTGAATTAAAAAGACATAGTGTGATTTATAGGTGTAAAATGTTGCAGTACCCTTAACAGTCTCAGTGGCGCAGCTCGAAAAACGCATGTCATTGTGTTTTGACACGTTCGGGCATGAACTCGGTTCGAATACAGCGTCTGATAAAGTCATTCTTTTTTTCCCCCCGCTACATATCAGATTTTGCCAACTATTTATCACGAGAAAGACAAGTAGGAATCATTAATAAGTCTGTGCATCATATTTTATTTGCACATTTATTGAATGGAAATGTTTCTGATTCACGCATGCAAATTCATCTTCAGATAGTGTCTTTAAAGAAATGTGCGTGCAGTAGATAGCTCAGATTACATTGGGAAAACAGGCGACCGCTGCAAATTGCGCTTTAATGTTTGGCTGGTCAACTGTATGGTATGGAAACCTTATATACCTGCTAGATGAACCTGTCTCATACAGCTGCCATTGCAAGGCTCAAAGACACTTTGTAGAGAGCAATTTAACAAAACTGCCTCTAGGAGTCGTCAATGGAAATAAAACGGATATGCACAAAAAATGTGCGTACGCCAGCCATAAAGCTGGCGTGGAGCTGCACACATTCCCACATTCAGTTCATCGTTAGTAAATCCAAACGTGGGCGATTCTGAACGTGAAACCTGGCGTACGCAAAGTTTTTGTGCATACGCAGTGTTGAAACATGAGGCCCCAGGACTTTGAACTTGATTTAGTATTTTAAAAAGGTAGCCAGTTCAGCGTTGCAAGGCTTGGAGTGGTCTTCACACTTATGTCAGGAGTCTAGCAGTAACATTGTGGACTAGTTGCAGTGATTCAAATTATTGATCCAAAAGTAGAGTGAGCTACAGTAGTATAAAAGAAGTTATCAGTGCATGAATCCACTGAAAGCTAGGCACTGAAGCTAGGTAGGGCTGTGTCTGGTAAGTACCTGGATGAGAGACCACATGGGAAAGCTAGTTTGCTGCTGGAAGTGGTGTTAGTGAGACTAGCAGGGGGTGCTTAACCTGCGGTCTGTGAGGGTCGTAATACCCCAGCATATTGTAAGGAACTCTATACTGCTCGGTGCAGAGAGTTTAACACCTTCTGTTTTCGGTCTCAAGCCTTCTATTTTATCACTGTAAAAATGAATCGCTACTAATTTGCAGTTCAAAATCTAGGATTATGATTTTTTTTTCATCAGTTTGCAGAAGCTCAGCCCTGACAGATTTTAGAGCCATCCTAGAGCTGGACATACCATCGTTGTACGCAATTCTAAAGACTTCTAAATTATTATTATTATTATTTTTTTAATATTTACGTTCCAGGGCACAGGTTGCTGTTTTGAGAGTGCAGTGTAGTTTTATTCTCTCTATCCTTTTTAAATTTGAGGGGTGCCACAGTATTTAGTGTGCTAGTAAAGATGGTGTGCATACTGCTAGTTACTACATTAAGGTCATTTGTGTTTACAGGTGCATTTTGAAATGGAGAAGGATCAGGCAAGTTATTTATGAATTTATCTTTAGTGGACTGAACGATTGTTCTACCAGGGTGGTAGATCTGTGCGGATCTGCTAATTTCAGGCAAACACTGCTTGATATAAGAAGCCACTACCTCTTACTATACATCACTTTGTGGTATGTCTACATCAATGACCTCAATTCCATGAGACAAAATTAGATCTAGTGTATGCTTTAAGCGATAGGTTGGACCAACAACATTTTGCTTTATCCCAAATGAATGCAAGACTATGAACGCGAGGCCTAATGTATCGTTGGTGTTGTTAAAGTCTCCTGCAACTAGTATTTTGAGTTGACCAAAAGATAGTTGTCATTTAATACTTTAAGAGCTGTTTCAGTTTATTGCTGCCCTCTAAAACCTGAATCAAGGGCTTTGTTGGTTTACAGCAGTCCAATACTCTAAGTTTTGTAGTTGGAGTAGTGTCAGGTGGCTATAGACTATTATGGCCAAACTTTCTTGGATTAAAGTATAAACTGAGGAGTGAAACAAGTCAAGCGGCGCTTTAAGACTGCAAGCTGAAGTGCTGTCTTCAAAATCTTTCAATTTTATAGAAGGATAATGACTGCTTGAAATAAATCCTTCTCTGAGATGATTCTGTAGTCATGTGATTAAATGTCATTGAAAATATTAAAGCAATTAAATCATGTCACTAGGGATTTCCTTAGTGTCTTCATGGGAGTTTGGAGTTTCTGCAGGAGAGTGCCCTCTCAATTATGTCTTCCTCACAAGATGTGCATGACGTGCAGCTTTGCTCCATTAAATTGATTAATTGCTCAGCCTTTTAATATTGTTGCCTTGTTGCTTTTTAGGTCTGGATTTTTCCTGTTCTGTGCAAAGCAGAGGCCAATTATCAAGGCTCAGAACCCCAGCCTTGGCATTGGAGATGTAGCCAAGAAACTGGGAGGGATGTGGAACAACCTGTCTGATTCTGAGAAGCAGCCCTTCCTATCAAATGCTGACAAACTGAAGGACAAGTATCAGAAGGTGGTGAATGCATTAATAAAAGTCTCTCTGAAAAATCTCATGTGCTCCCATTAGTCTTCACATAACATATTAAAATCTGAATATTACTGCTTTCACAGTATTTTATTAAATTACATTTATTTATTTTTTTAAATGTGGCTATTCATAGCATAAGACTTTGGTTAATTTTACGTTGTTTTGGTTTCTCAGGATATGGCCTTTTACAGAAAAAAGGGAAGTGGAGGCTCATCGTCTGCCAAATCTGAACCAAAGGATGACGACGAGGACGATGATGAGGAAGAAGAGGATGACGACGATGATGATGAGGATGATGACTAAATGACTGGTTTCTCCTAATTGGGCAGTAAGGTGTTTGATCACTTAAGTCTGGGTCTAAAAGGTCTTTGTGTCAAGGCTGCTATACACTGATAATCAGTAAAAGAGCCCAATGCTTGCAAGCTCTGTCTTCAGACAACCTCTCTCAATGGTGAGTTTGCTGGTGGACCTGTTACAGCTTGCTATTAAACTGTTGGTAAGAGCATAATGTTTCCACACTGTCGAACAAAAAGTATTAGCAGTACAAACTTTTTAAAAGTATTTAAGTGGTGTCTATATATGGCTGTTAAACTTAACAACAACAAAAAATCTTTCTGTAACTTTCTGTGTTGTTGGAAGGATGTTCATTATATGCAAAATTATTATTATTTCTTGAGTGATTAAGTTGAGTGAATTTTATGTTTGCAAAGTCTAGGAACTTTATCAGCTTAAACCAGAGGCAAGTGATCAAATGTTTAGGGGACATGAGCTATTATTTGCTCCTTCAGTTGTTTGATGTTGTGTATCAATGATACTGTGATTTGAAATAAACATGGCATTTTTAGATGTTAAATGTTTTTTTATTATTTTTTTTATGCATTTCTCATGCATAAAGTAGCATTTAAATATTTGGAGTATTTGTCAGTTAATAAAAGGATACATGTAGCTATTATATGGTTTTTGTTTTTAAATTCAATTTGTATTCTTGATTTAATTGCAGTGAAATGATTATTACCGTGCAGTGACTGTAAAAAGCCACTAGATGCCAATGCAGGGTAAGAATTGCAAACTCTTTCAATAACCAAATTGTAACTTGAAGCTGTAAAAAATACCATTGAAAGTCTTTTAAAAAATGCTTGCTTCAATTCTTTTAAATTGTGTGAAAATGAAAGGGATCGTAGACCCGGGAATGAAAATTCTGGCCCTGAAGTGTTTATAAACCTTTGAGGATTTTCCTTTATTTCCCAAGATATTTTGAAAAAAAAAATGCTATTGGTGGTCCAGAGATATCCAATGTTATTGCTGTTTTTTTTTTTTATCTTTACTTCTATAGCACTTTTATTATTTAGATTGTGCCGAAGCAGCTTAACATAAATGAAGTTCTAGTGAATAGAAACTGCTTCAGTTTAGTTGTCAGAGTTGTAATGTACACTACTCGCAATAAGTTAGGGATATTGTGAGAGACTCCGTGAATGTCATGCGTATGGTGTGTGTTTAAAGGTGTAGGTGAATGTCTTTAGAAACCTTTTGTTGTGCTGATTGAAAGTCTCCGCACATTCAAATACTATTGACTAAAGTAAATTATCAAAATCTTTTTTTCTTTTTTTTTTTTAAATATTCTGGGTGAGGCATAAGACAAAAAGTTAATTCAATTTAAATATTGTCGGGCTGACATTACCCATAATTCTGATAAGTAGCTCAAACAGTCTGTCAGCAAATGTTGATTTAGAAAAACTGCGCACCTGTTTATTTGGCCCATGGACACAAGTGACAGCTAAAAACAAATGCTCAATCAAAACTTTTAAAAATCCTGAATCAATATTGGGGTTACTTTTGCACGCTGGAGTAAGGATGACAGTGACACCATGGCTAAAATATTTCTTTTAGACGGGTAATATTATGTTTTAAAACTATTTTAGTCACTCAAAGCTTATGTAGAGTTTCTAGTTACAAATGGATTATATGCACAGAAGTGTTGTTCAGCCACTGCAATCTTCCGGTGAATGATAGATGTGACTATTTTCAGTTTCATAAGGGACCTTTTACAGTATCGATAATGTAGAATTTATTTATTTATTTATTTTTAGTTTAACAATAAAGCATCAGTAAATAGCGCTATTTAGTGCTGTACATTCTGAGCTGCATCCAATGCTTTTTAATGCGCTCCCCTAACCCTACCTATCACATTGACGTCACTCACTCCATTGAGTGCATTGTGTCTAACATTGCATCGCTGTGTTATTCAATCTCAGCTTGCATCATAAAGGCTGCATCCAGGTACTATTGGATTACTGCACCTTTAACTTCACACACTTTTGGAATAGGGAGGCAATTGCATTGGGGTGAAAGACGCGCATCATTTTGTATTTTCTATGTTATGGTCTTATTGTGTACAGGTTTATATTGGGGCCAATACCAAAAGACAGACTTTTTCAATGTGGCATCAATTTTTACATTCTGTGGTATTTTCAGTAAGTCATTTCAAGTTCATCATTCAAACAGCCATGAACACACAACATCTAATGGACGAGCAGCGCCCCCTGGCCAAGGTGCACCTTCGGGTTGGTGGCAGATAGTCAGCTGTTGCTTGTGAACTTTGTTTTAAGTGTCATCAGCAGACTTGCATCAAGATGCAGATGTAACCCTTTGCTATAAAGATAATATAATAAAACCCAACTTCGCCACCTAGGTTACTACCCAGGAACATCTGTCTAAAAAACACTTGTTTGATTAACACAAAAGTTACAACAATATGAAGGACCCTGCTGGTTCGTTTTTGATTAAAGACAGAGACGTGACTTACAAACATAATAAAAAATTTATTAAATTCACTATGGCATACAAAATCTTAATTTTAAAATGCTCTCATCACAGTTACCAATTAAATACATTAGGCACAAAGGGACTGCAATAAATGACATTAACAGACAGGGGGACACTTCACACAGCAAATCAGTGTATAAAAATTATTAAAGCAAGTGACAAAATCACACCCATACAATTCAACAAACCTCCTTCAATTTAGCATCAATATTACAGCTCATCCGCCCACCTGGGGATATACACAGCCTAAAATACTCACAGGAAACAAACTGCACAAAAAAAAAAAAAAAAAACAGGACATAAAATTCACAATGAAGTGTATATGATCACGTTGAATATGGATGGTAGATCAAGAGCCAAATACAGTGCATAGAAATAATGTCACCATAGAAAATAAAAGGGAATGTTCGCGAAGAGCTGTCGCAGCAGATGAGACAGGTTTTAAAAAGACAGACGCAAATAAACGCGGCGAAACAACAGATAGCACCTTCAAGCCGCACCTCCTAAAAATACAAATTTAAGAGGAAGATAAAGGATTCAAAAAAAGAACAAACCCTTCTTTAAAATCCACAAGCTTCTTACCTCCTAGATGAGTTTCATAGGCTAGAACAGACTTTGCGAACGGCGCATGTCTTCACAATCACACACACTTTCATTCATTTTCTTGTCAGACTTAGTCCCTTTATTAATCCGGGGTCGCCACAGCAGAATGAACCACCAACTTATCCAGCAAGTTTTTACGATGCCCTTCCAGCCGCAACCCATCTCTGGGAAACATCCACACACACACACACTCATACACTACGGACAATTTAGCCTACCCAATTCACTTGTACCGCATGTCTTTGGACTGTGGGGGAAACCAGAGCACCCAGAGGCACCCACGCGAACACATGCAAACTCCACACAGAAAGCCAGCTGAGCCGAGGATCAAACCAGCGACCTTCTTGCTGTGAGACAAACGTGCTACCCACTGCGCCATTGTGTCGCCACACACACTTTCCTAATAATAAAAGCATCCTTTAGATTATTACTTAAAACTAACGAGAAACACTAAAAACCACCAACTCACCCAGGCTAGAGCAGACTTTGCAAACGAAGGTGCAACAGTCTTGGCAGGCATTATCAGTCAGCGCAAAACAGATTTGGTTATTGTTGATGGCTCAGTTACTGCAAGTTCTTACCTCAGAGACATCACCCATCAATATTTCACAATTCTGCCAACACACCCCAAACTTTCTGCTCATGGATGATAATGCTCCGCCACACCATAGCAGAATTGTCACAGCTTGACATCAGGAAGTTAGAGTGCCTCATATGATATGGCCATCAATGTCCTCTTACCTGAACCACACTGAGCACACCTGGAACGAGTTAAAGCAGAGACTGGATGATCGCATCTTAACCCCATGTGACCTGGCAAAGCTGATTGTAGCACTTGTGGAGAAGTGGAACACATTGGCTCAGAGCAACATTATGAGGCTAGTGTGGAGCTTGAGACATCGCTGTCATTGTGGCAAATGGTTGAAACACCCGCTATACTGACATAGTCAAGTTTTTTTTTGTTTGATGCTCTCCTTGTTATTGTCAATTTTTGGGGTAATAAATATTAAACTATTGGAAATGATGTTTCTTCTCATAAATTATTAGTAATATCAAAGGAAACTTACTTATTACTTTAAAATTCAGAGCAAATAAGAAAAGCACGTGAAAGAATGTGTAGATGCTGTTCAAATTATAATGTCTTTTTGAGAAGTGTTCCTAGCTCTGGTTGCCCGGATAATGCATTTTTAACCATCCTTATGGAAGATTTGGGTTTTGTTTTATGTTTTAATATAAAAAAAGTGTCTTTAGTCTTCTAGATTTTTTTGAAGTTGTTGCAAATTTATTACAAATAAAAAACCTGAAAAATCACATGTACATTAGTATTCACAGCCTTTGCCGTGAAGCTTTAAATTAAGCTCAGGTACATTCTGGCTGTTTCTCAATTTAATTTGATTGGACATGATTTGAACACTAGAACATTTGAACATTAGACATACACCTGTCTATATAAGGTCCCAGGGTTGATAGTGCATGCCAAAGCACAAATCAAGCATGAAGACAAAGAATTGTCAGTAGACCTCAGAGACAGGATTGTTTTGAGGTAAAAGGCTGGGGAAGGTTAAAGAAAAAATTCTGCTGCTCTGAAATTTCCAATGAGCATTGTGGCCTCCATCATCCATTAGAGGAAGATGTTTGAAACCACCAGGACTCTTCCTAGAGCAGGCTGGCCATCTTAGCTGAGTGGGAGAAGGGCCTTAGTCAGGGAGGTGATCAATAACGTGATGGTAACTCTGTCTGAGCTCCAGCATTCTTATGTGGAGAGAGAAGAACCTCATAGAAGGACAACCATCTGTGGAGCAATCCACCAATCAGACCTGTATGGTAGCATGGCCAGATGGAGACCACTCCCTGTCTGGAATTTGCCTAAAAGCCTCTGAAGGACTTTTAGACCATAATAAACAAAATTCATTGGGCTGATTAGACTAAAATTGAACTCTTTGAAGTGAATGCCAGGCGTTACGTTTGGAGAAAACCAGGCACCTTATAATCAGGATTATACCATTCCTACAGTGAAGCATGGTGATGGCAGCATCATGCTGTAGAGATGTGTTTCAGCAGCAGGTACTTGAAGACTAGTTAGGATAGAGGGAAAGATAAATGCAACAATGTACAGAGACCTCCTGAATGGAAACCTGCTTCAGAGTGCATCTCTGGAGAAAACTAAAAATGGCTGTACACCATCGCTTCTATATATACAGAGGTTGGACAATGAAAGTGAAACGTCTTGTTTTAGATCACAATAATTCATTAGTATGGTGTAAGTTCTCCTTTTGCATCAAAGACACCAACAAGTTATCTTGGGAATGACAAGACAAGGAGAAAATGTGAGCAACAACCCCTGTATATAAACTGTATATACTTTAATAATTTGATAATGCAAAAAAGCACATCATTTCAATTAAATTGCATATATTTTTTATGTTTCTCTTGATAAGATCCACTGATAATTTACCTATATTACACTCCAGTCCAGCATGTCTCTTTCTGTCTTCCACTGATTAATGCAAAACAGCACATTAGCCT